CACCCAAACCCCTCTGCCCTGCCTGCCCCACCTCAGGATCCTAAACCCAAACCCCTCTGCCCTGCCTGCCCCACCTCAGGATCCTAAACCCAAACCCCTCTGCCCTGCCTGCCCCACCTCAGGATCCTCACCCACTCTGCCCTGCCTGCCCCACCTCAGGACCCTAAACCCAAACCCCTCTGCCCTGCCTGCCCCACCTCAGGATCCTCACCCAAACCCCTCTGTCCTGCCTGCCCCACTACTTGGACCCTAACCCCCAGCCCCTCTGCCCTGCCTGCCCCACCTCAGGATCCTAAACCCAAACCCCTCTGCCCTGCCTGCCCCACCTCAGGATCCTCACCCAAACCCCTCTGCCCTGCCTGCCCCACCTCAGGACCCTAAACCCAAACCCCTCTGCCCTGCCTGCCCCACCTCAGGATCCTCACCCAAACCCCTCTGCCCTGCCTGCCCCACCTCAGGATCCTAAACACAAACCCCTCTGCCCTGCCTGCCCCACCTCAGGATCCTAAACCCAAACCCCTCTGCCCTGCCTGCCCCACCTCAGGATCCTCACCCAAACCCATCTGCCCTGCCTGCCCCACCTCAGGATCCTAAACCCAAACCCCTCTGCCCTGCCTGCCCCACCTCAGGATCCTCACCCAAACCCCTCTGCCCTGCCTGCCCCACCTCAGGACCCTAAACCCAAACCCCTCTGCCCTGCCTGCCCCACCTCAGGATCCTCACCCAAACCCCTCTGCCCTGCCTGCCCCACCTCAGGACCCTAAACCCAAACCCCTCTGCCCTGCCTTCCCCACCTCAGGATCCTCACCCAAACCCCTCTGCCCTGCCTGCCCCACCTCAGGACCCTAAACCCAAACCCCTCTGCCCTGCCTGCCCCACCTCAGGATCCTCACCCAAACCCCTCTGCCCTGCCTGCCCCACCTCAGGTTCCTCGCCCAAACCCCTCTGCCCTGCCTGCCCCACCTCAGGATCCTCACCCAAACCCCTCTGCCCTGCCTGCCCCACCTCAGGATCCTAAACCCAAACCCCTCTGCCCTGCCTGCCCCACCTCAGGATCCTCACCCAAACCCCTCTGCCCTGCCTGCCCCACCTCAGGATCCTCACCCAAACCCCTCTGCCCTGCCTGCCCCACCTCAGGATCCTCACCCAAACCCCTCTGCCCTGCCTGCCCCACCTCAGGATCCTCACCCAAACCCCTCTTCCCTGCCTGCCCCACCTCAGGATCCTAAACCCAAACCCCTCTGCCCTGCCTGCCCCACCTCAGGATCCTCACCCAAACCCCTCTGCCCTGCCTGCCCCACCTCAGGATCCTAAACCCGAACCCCTCTGCCCTGCCTGCCCCACCTCAGGATCCTAAACCCGAACCCCTCTGCCCTGCCTGCCCCACCCCAGGATCCTCACCCAAACCCCTCTGCCCGGCCTGCCCCTTCTTACGATGCCCAAACATACCTCCAAACACTGCCTGCCCCACTACTTGATGATAAAACATACCCCGTGCTTCCCCACATGGTTGTGCCTCCTTGTAGGAGGGAATGAGCGGGTCAGCTCGTGGGGGAACGACAGATCCGGGCTCCCTTTTGCCAACGCCCGGTTTGTGGATGCGGTGAAGGCATCATTTCGGGATTACGCTGTTGGGCGCAGGCTGGCCCTAAAGACGTACCACATAGCCTGGTCACTCATGGTGGTGAGACTGGTTTTGTAAATCACATGTACTTGCCCTAATGCTCAATCTTTTCTATTGCACGTGAACGACTTGGGACCCTTGGGGGCTAACACCGGTAACATGCAACTCTGCCTTGCTGCTGGTCCCTGTAATCCAAACCCGTTTCAGATTGATCAAGGCTTGGCGCGCTTCAAGGAGACCGACATGAACCTGCCGAACTCCCACAGGAAAAACACTAGATGGATGAGGAGTTTGACTCGGGGGGTGCGGAGGATTGTAAGGGATCACTTTACACGCCACACCCCCGTGTACAACGCAGAGTTGCAGGGCTTCAAGTGGGGCACGCGTGGGCTCTATGTACATGAGTCCGGGTTTCAGGCGTTCCGGGGGACGGCTCAGGCTGATAACGAGGAGGAGGAGGAGGAGGAGGAGGAGGAGCAAGAGGATTTCAGTGAGAAGGAGGAGGAGGAGGAGGAGCAAGAGGAGGAGGAGCAAGAGGAGGAAGAGGAGGAAGAGGAGGAGGAGGATGAGGATGAGGAGGATGAGGAGGAGGATGAAGAGGAGGAAGAGGAAGAGGAGGATGATGAGCAGGGGGGGAAGGAGTTGAGAGGGAGCAGAAGGCACAAGAGAGGCAAAAACATGGGTGGCAGGAGGGGAAAGTGATGTGCAGGCAGACAAGGGGGCAAGCAGGACGGGTGGCAGTGGAGGAAGTTGGAGAGGCATCGGGTGAGGCAGGAGGGTATCGGTTAACGGGGAGAGCAGGGGCGTTTAACGGGTATGGATAAAGGAAAGGCATCAGGATAGGCAACAAGGGTAAGAAGCCGAGAGTCAACAAGGAAAGGCAGCAGGGGAGGCAACATAGAAAGGCACCACGGGAGGCAACAGGGAGAGGGAGCAGGGAAGGCAACATAGAATGACAGCAGGGGAGGCAACAGAGAAAGGCACCACGGGAGGCAACAGGGAGAGGGAGCAGGGAAGGCAACATAGAATGACAGCAGGGGAGGCAACAGAGAGGCAGAATGGGAGGCAACATAGAATGGCAGCAGGGGAGGCAACAAAGGGAGGCAGCAGGGGAGGCAACATTAAATAGCAGCAGGGTAGGCAACAGAGAGAGGGAGTAGGGGAGGCAACATAGAATGGCAGCAGGCGAGACAACAGAGAGAGGCAGCATGGGAGGCAACATAGAATGGCAGCAGGGGAGGCAACAAAGGGGCAGGGGAGGCAACAAAGGGAGGCGGTAGGGGAGGCAACATTGAACAGCAGCAGGGTAGGCAACAGAGAGAGGCAGCATGGGAGGCAACTAGAATGGCAGCAGGGGAGACAACAAAGGGAGGCAGCTTGGGAGGCAACATTGAATGGCAGCAGGGGGGAGGCAACATCCCGTGGCAGTAGGGGAGGAGTGCATATTTAATATGCGACCGTTTTGCAGGTTGCCTGGGTGGCGGAGGAGCAGTGGAGGCAGCATGTGAGGCAGTAGTGGAGGAGCAGTGGAGGCAGCATGAGTAGCATCAGGGGGGGGAGGCCGGGAGGTAAGAGGGGAGTTCCAGGAGAGGCCCAATGTGGAGCAGCAGGAGCAGGCATGAGAGGAGACCGCATAGGGGGCAGCAGCGTGGAGACAGCAAGGGGACAGGAGTATAAGCAAGAGAGGAGACAGGAAGTGTGTAGCCGTGCAGGTTAGCATTAGATGGAGCAGTATCTGTAGTCAAGAACTCTCTAGGCCAAGAGCTGGAGAGATGGGGCGGGGCTGCATCCGATGATGGCTTGCGAAGTAGGTAGGAGGATGGTGCAGATTAATCCACCCTAGCAGGACTACGCAACGCGTGTTTAGGCAGCTGTTTTGTGTGCCAAGCCAACTCTGTAATGAGATTAATAATCATTGAGCAATGCATTCATGATGTGCGTGTACACCTAAGAATGGCTAATAGACCTTCCATCAAACAACGAGAATCACTTGATAAAGGTTCATATACAATCTTCTTGAACTTTGGTCCTAAGCTCTGCTAAAGAGTATATGAGTGGAAAGTAATCTCCCTGAACTCTCCGAACGAAGTCTTATACATCTCCGAAGAAACTCAGACAGACCCTAATCTGAAGGTAATACAAACATGTCATCACCTGCAAAGCATTCGACAAAGCATTCGAAAAAATGTTTATACTTTCACCGAAAAGCGTTTTGGCCCCTACGTTTTAAAAGCATTTGAAAATACTTCACCACAACTTTTTACAATAGGTTTCTGGTCATATGATTTTTGTGATGATAGTGCTGAGGAGGACAACGATCTCGAATACGAGTGCAACGGGATGGAGTGCAACGGTAACGAGGACAACGGTAACGAGGACAACGGTAACGAGGACAACGAACTACTGGACTCCGAGTGGGCGCGTCAACTCATCGCGTCGCAGTGGATCCGAATCGGCGTGGTCCCGCAGATGATGACTGGACATGGCTTCCCGGCTGCGAATGGCGCTGCGGCTGTAACCACCAAGTGTGTTAGTGTCACAACGGAAGGCTATGGCGTCACTGCGAAAGGCGTTCCGACAAGGACAGCCACCTCCGATGGTGTCAACCCGGGTGGTGCAGCGCGAGTGACGTTTGAGGCGCCTCAAAACGAGAACCCAGGTGGTGCAACGCGAGTGACGCAGCTTGATCTGAAGCAAGAAGCGCAGGGGAATTCTCCTGGCAGTCGTTGTAACGGGGGAGCAGCTGCTTTAATCTCATCGACCCATCATGCATCAAAGGCCGCGCCACGGCTGGCAACTGCCATGGTGTTTCAGAGCCATGGGAGCCATGGGAGCCCTGGCAATTCTTCTGCTGGCAGATGCCATGGTAGCTGCCATGGCAGCTGTGAAGGCGTCGTTTCCTTGCAGCAGTTGGCGTCCTCTTCATCTGGAGCTGCTCTTGCTTCCCCCTATACACGCACCCTTGCTAATGTCACACCTGGAAGCGGCAATTCCAAGGGCCGCTGTACTATACAGCAGCAGCAGCAGCAGCGGCAGCAGCAGCAATGGCAATGGCATAACCATCAGCGGCTTGAGCGGAATAGTCTTTCTCCCCGTCCACCAGCCACCTGCTCTTCACAGACTTTCAACACTCATGGCCACTCCATCACCGAACACAGCAGGGGGAGTGGCGGTGCACAGGAGGGGGGACTAGCCGTGCAGAGTGGGGGAATTAGCCCGCACAATCTGGGGCGCATCGGAACTGTAACCAGCACACGTTTGAGGCAGCTCACCACAGCAGCAGCAGCGGGCAGAACGACAGTATTAAGTGCACCTGCTGCTTTCCCCACAGCAGCGGCTGTAGCAGAAGTTCCCTCCAAAGCAGCAACACCGAAGCCTAGCAAGCAGCAGCAGCAGCAGCAGCAGCAGCAGCAGCAGCAGCAGCAGCAGCAGCAGCAGCAGCAGCAGAAGCAGCAAGAAGGTTGCGATCCTCCCTTCTCCCGTAGACAACCCGCCTGGCAGGAGGCTGAGGAGAGATTTCAGGAATACATGCAGAGATCAGCTCGGGCCCAACGTGGCTCACCTCCCAGATCGGGCCTTCGCTCCCCTCCCAATACGCCCATTCTCTCCCCGTCGCCACCGACCCAACCGCGCATGCGTCGCCCTGTGGGAGTGCATCGCCGCTCGCTCTCCTGCCTCCCAGCCACGCCTCTCAACGACCAGCTTCTCACCAATGCTGCGCTGGCACTGGCTCTCTCGCGCTCCCTTGCTGAGTGTGAGGACAGCCGAGAATGTGAGGGCAGCAGAGAGTGCATGCAGCAGCATACACTGAGGCACCAACAGAGGCAACCTGACATACTTAAGCACGAAAGGAGCCCATCTGCAAGCTATGTGAACAGCCCTCAAGCAAACCTTGTAACTTCAGAGTCGTTTCACAAGTCAGTTGCAAATTCAGTAAGCACACCCCGGGCCAGCCTGGTTACAGTGCCGTCAAGCCCGCCACCAGGTCCACCTTTATCGAGTCTGCCTTTATCGAGTCCACGATTGTCAAATCCGTTGTCATCCCAGCAGGTTGGTACTAGTGAGCAGTCCAGCAGTCAGCAGGCATGCCTGTACAGCGTCTCACCTCCATTGCTCGCCGGCTGGACAGCTGCTCCCCGAGCGCGACCTCTTGACGACATCCCATCTCCGATGCTGCAGACGCCCTCACTCGACATGCCATCCCCAGTGCCGCAGGTGCGTTCGCTTGATATTCCACCTTCCGTGCCGCAGACACGCTCCCTTGACATGCCGTCGCCTGTGCCACAGGCGTGTTCGCTTGACTTGCCATTGCCAGGCCACGAGTGGCAGAATCAGCACATTGGGAGAAGAAGTTTTTACCCGGCTCGTAAGTCGCTAGCTCTGCATTGCCATGCCGCGTCTGCTCGTTCCAGCTTCAAGCACACCAGCCGCAGCAGCAGCAGCAGCAGCAGCATTTCTTTTGGAGTTAGGACCGAGGCTGCTGATATCTAGGCAAGAAGAGGAGCGGACGGTGCTGGAAAGAGCAACACCAGTGTTAGCAGCAGCAGCGCTAGGGGCATGTGGAGCAGCGGTGCGAGCAGCAGCAATGGCAGAGTGTTAGTGAAAGGCAATAGCGTCGCACCCTCAGCACCTGCAAGACACAGGCGCTGGCTCTCGCAGTCAAGCCTCCCTCCGCTTGGGCTCAGCTATTGCGAGCATGAGCCACAGGCAGCAGTCTCAGCAGTCTCGCGAGTATCAGGAGTCTCAGGAGTATCAGGAGGATTATCAAAAGTTTCAGGAGAAGCTACAGCTCCTGTGAAAACGCGCTGTTCTGCAAATTCTGCACATGATTCTCGAGTCAACAAAGTCAATGGAGTCAACGGACATGCATCGTCGTCGCAACATCACCACCATCATCATCATCGTCATCATTATCATGATCCGTGTGTTCAAGCTAAGAAGGCAGCATCACACAAAGGAGACTTGGGTGGTGATATGATTGGCTCGCATGGGTGTGCCTTTGATGGACAACCTCTGCATGGGTGTGGTTCTGATTGTCATAATTCGCATGGGTGGAGTGTGGTACATGGGTTCGTTCCAGGGAAGGGGGAGCAAGAGTGGCGTGTCACAAGCAGCCACTTTTGAGCCAATGGAACAAAAGGCATGTGTTCAGGTTCAGGGCTTGATGCAGGTGCCAAATATCAGGAGCAATGAGGAGAGAAAGGATGGGACAGGTGGGATGCTGAATCTTGGGGGGGATGGTGCTTCTTGCTTGCCAAGTCCCCAGCACCAGCAGCAGCAGCAGCAATGGAGGCAGCAGCTGAGGCAGCAGTGGCTACAGAAATAAAAATGCAGTCATGCAGCTTCAATAATAGTGGTTGATCAAACAACAAAATCTGGATGCTAGTTTTATTTGTTGATTCAAGTGTACCTTGGTCAATATAATACGGGTAATTCTTTTGAGTTCACTGCTTTACTAAAAGGCCAAAGAAAGCTTTCTGTTGCAGGCATTAAATCAACATTTTTGTTGGAGCATTACAGTATGGTCCTTTTGAACACACAATAGCAACTCCTCTACATAGTCCTTATTTGGGCAGTCTAAGCAGCGCTGGTGCAGCAAGCAGCACATCTTCTAGCAGTTGTACGCCACAGCATAGCACACTCACGCATTCGCGGCAGCACCAGCAGCATCAGCAGCAAGACCCTTCTCTTGTGGTCTGTCTGAGGCGGCACCAGAGCCGAGACTTGTGCATAGCGGCGCCCATGACCATCTCAGTGGCCCCCAGTGGGCGGTCCAGCCAGGCACGTGTTAACGCGGCGCAATATCATGCATTCGCAGTTGCAGAAGCAGCAGCAGCATCAGCAGGCACACCCGTGTCTCCCCGAGGAGTGAGGCGACACCAGAGCCCGGACTTGGTGTGCATGGTGGCTCCCATGACCATCTCGGTGTCCTCCGGCGGCCCGTCGAGGCGCACGTTGAAGCGGCGGAGGATCATGGCGAGCGCCACTGTGGACTCCATCAGCGCGAACTGGTCGCCCACACACTTGCGCGGGCCGCCACCAAAAGGGAGGAAGGCGAAATCAGAGACCACCTGGAGGGAAGGAAGGAGTGGTGGGGAGTGTGGGAGTGTACGCCTATTCTCGTGGTGATACCATGAAGACACACACACACACCTCGTTGGGGTAGAGAGCCCCTGCCAGCCTGTCAGGATGATACCCATCCCACCCTTCAATGCCCTTGGGCCTTGCTACCTGTCCCTGGTGCCCCAGTAGCCTCACCTCAATGGCCTAATAAGGGTGACGCACGCACCTCGTTGGGGTAGAGAGCCCCTGCCAGCCGGTCAGGGTCGTACCCATCCCACCCGGGGATACCGTCGCCGCTCCTCCTCTCCAAGAACCTCTCCGGCCGAAACTCCTCCGGATTCTCCCAATAGTGCGGCGAACGGTTGATATTGAACACCTGGGGAAGGAGGAGAGGGGGAGAGGGGGAGAGGGAGAGAGGGGGAGAGGGGGAGAGGGGGAGAGGGGGAGAGGAGGGGGGGGGATCAATCGAGCGCATTTTTAAATGAAACCATATGGTATGTCCCCCAGGTGTGCTGCGACCTGTTGATGTTGAGCAGCGTGGAGGGGGGGCGAAGTTCAAGAGAACAAACTATACATGTCAAGTGCACTGCACTGTGTCTGCTTCCAGAAGTGCGGCGAGCGGTTGATGTTGAACACCTGGGGAAGGAGGGGCGGGGTGCGGGGGGGGGGGGGGGGGGGGGGGGGGGGGGGGGTTGGGAGGGTGCGGGGTTGAAAAGAGGAACCGAGGAGAGGAAAGGCGAGCGGTTGATGCTGAAGTGTGGACCTGTTGCTATCATGGCTCATGATCACATGCTTGCTCTCATGGCTCATGATCACATGCTTGCTCTCATGGCTCATGATCACATGCTTGCTCTCATGGCTCATGATCACATGCTTGCTCTCATGGCTCATGATCACATGCTTGCTCTCATGGCTCATGATCACATGCTTGCTCTCATGGCTCATGATCACATGCTTGCTCTCATGGCTCATGATCACATGCTTGCTCTCATGGCTCATGATCACATGCTTGCTCTCATGGCTCATGATCACATGCTTGCTCTCATGGCTCATGATCACATGCTTGCTCTCATGGCTCATGATCACATGCTTGCTCTCATGGCTCATGATCACATGCTTGCTCTCATGGCTCATGATCACATGCTTGCTCTCATGGCTCATGATCACATGCTTGCTCTCATGGCTCATGATCACATGCTTGCTCTCATGGCTCATGATCACATGCTTGCTCTCATGGCTCATGATCACATGCTTGCTCTCATGGCTCATGATCACATGCTTGCTCTCATGGCTCATGATCACATGCTTGCTCTCATGGCTCATGATCACATGCTTGCTCTCATGGCTCATGATCACATGCTTGCTCTCATGGCTCATGATCACATGCTTGCTCTCATGGCTCATGATCACATGCTTGCTCTCATGGCTCATGATCACATGCTTGCTCTCATGGCTCATGATCACATGCTTGCTCTCATGGCTCATGATCACATGCTTGCTCTCATGGCTCATGATCACATGCTTGCTCTCATGGCTCATGATCACATGCTTGCTCTCATGGCTCATGATCACATGCTTGCTCTCATGGCTCATGATCACATGCTTGCTCTCATGGCTCATGATCACATGCTTGCTCTCATGGCTCATGATCACATGCTTGCTCTCATGGCTCATGATCACATGCTTGCTCTCATGGCTCATGATCACATGCTTGCTCTCATGGCTCATGATCACATGCTTGCTCTCATGGCTCATGATCACATGCTTGCTCTCATGGCTCATGATCACATGCTTGCTCTCATGGCTCATGATCACATGCTTGCTCTCATGGCTCATGATCACATGCTTGCTCTCATGGCTCATGATCACATGCTTGCTCTCATGGCTCATGATCACATGCTTGCTCTCATGGCTCATGATCACATGCTTGCTCTCATGGCTCATGATCACATGCTTGCTCTCATGGCTCATGATCACATGCTTGCTCTCATGGCTCATGATCACATGCTTGCTCTCATGGCTCATGATCACATGCTTGCTCTCATGGCTCATGATCACATGCTTGCTCTCTGGGCTGGAGGAGGATGGAGAGTCGCAGTGACACATACCAGATCTAGGGGTGAAAACAAACAGAGAGTGGGGAAAGTGGAATGCAATGCGAGTGACCAGGACAGTGAGAGTGCGGGAGTGGCGGGGTGAGTGAGGGGGAGTGTGTGTGGGAGGAGCTTCTTCCAGAGACAGAGAGACACGTGCCCTTGAGGCGCCTCAGAAGGGGGGAGTGTGGGAGAGGAGGCTCACAGAGACAAAGAGGTCGGTGCCCTTGGGAAGGTTGTAGCCCTCGGGATTGCCCTTGTACCCAGCTGCCATGGGGACACGCAGAGGGTTGTGGGGATGGGATGAGATGGTAGCCATGGGAGAGGGGATGGGATGAGATGGTAGCCATGGGAGAGGGGATGGGATGAGATGGTAGCCATGGGGGATGGGATGGGATGAGATGGTAGCCATGGTAGAGGGGATGGGATGAGTTACGGATGTGGGGCAGTGGAGAAGGGTCACACGCAAGTTGAAGCTGCATGGCAGCAGCTCCTTGTCACAGCAGGGCGAGTTTTTGTGTACAAGGCAGCAGGACATGAGAAGTGCATGCATGCAGTATATGTCGGTGCCTTGCACAAGGCAGCAGCTCCATGCACAAGGCAGCAGCTCCTTGCACAAGGCAGCAGCTCCTTGCACAAGGCAGCAGCTCCTTGCACAAGGCAGCAGCTCCTTGCACAAGGCAGCAGCTCCTTGCACAAGGCAGCAGCTCCTTGCACAAGGCAGCAGCTCCTTGCACAAGGCAGCAGCTCCTTGCACAAGGCAGCAGCTCCTTGCACAAGGCAGCAGCTCCTTGCACAAGGCAGCAGCTCCTTGCACAAGGCAGCAGCTCCTTGCACAAGGCAGCAGCTCCTTGCACAAGGCAGCAGCTCCTTGCACAAGGCAGCAGCTCCTTGCACAAGGCAGCAGCTCCTTGCACAAGGCAGCAGCTCCTTGCACAAGGCAGCAGCTCCTTGCACAAGGCAGCAGCTCCTTGCACAAGGCAGCAGCTCCTTGCACAAGGCAGCAGCTCCTTGCACAAGGCAGCAGCTCCTTGCACAAGGCAGCAGCTCCTTGCACAAGGCAGCAGGGTATCTTGACGCACACAGAGAAGCAAATAAGTCAATGCTCTCACGCATCTCTTGGCATGTGTTAGAATCTCTCATGAGAGTTATGTCGGTGCACAAGAGAGGGACATGGCTCGGGCATGCAGCTCTCATGACAACACGCATGCAGAAGCAACAGTGGGATTGAAACTGGAGAGCTGCTTACATGGCAGATGGTCATTGGCCAGCGCACGGCGAATGAGCAGCGGCGGTTGGGGGTAGAGCCTGAGAGCCTCTGATACCACCAGGCGGGTGTACCTGCGATGGGAGATGGACGAGGTGGGGGAGAGGGGTCGAGAAGAGGGGTGATGGAGATGGGGGAGAGGGTTGGGGGAGATGGGGGAGAGGGTTGGGGGAGATGGGGGAGAGGGTTGGGGGAGAATGAGTGGGAGAGAGGAGCGGGAGAGAGGGTTGAGAGAAAAGGGTGGGAAAGAAGGCTGGGATGGAAGAGATGGGAGGGGTTGGAAGGATGGTGGTGGAAGGAAGATGGGTGAGCTGAAGGACCTTGATTGCTTGATTGAGAACTATGCCGGGAGGATTGTCATGTCCCTTACGAGATTCCTCAAGAGAAAGATCACAGGGACTGTTTGAGAGTGCGGCATGGCATGGCAGGGCAGGGCACTCACTCGAGGGACTTGATGTCTTGCAGCGTGGCCAGCCGGTCGCCCAGCACTGCGTCCACCTCCTCCTGTAGCCTCGCCAGCACACGCGGGTGCTGCGAGGGGTGGGAAGGGGGACGAGGGACTGATGGAAAGGGGTCAACAGGGAGGGATCCCCCCCCGCACTGTGTCCACCTCCTCTTGTAGCTTCGCCAGCACGCGTGGGTTCTGTGAGGGGTGGGGGGAAGGAGGAAGAAGGAAAGATGGAGAGAGAAACGTGAGATGGAAAGGGGTCAAGAGGGAAGGGATCTGGCATCGCGGTCCTCCCCACGCAGGTCCACCAGGAAACTGATGAGCTGGCTTAAAAGCTCTGCCTTACCTGGGCGAGCATGTAGGTAGCCCAGGTGAGCACGGCAGCGGTGGTCTCATGCCCCACAAGCAGCATGGTCATGAGGTCGTCCCACGGCTGCTTGGTGCACCAACCCACTCCCTACCTACATGCACTGCCTCGTAGACACACCCTCCACGCACCTGAGAGAGCATGTAAGTAGCCCAGGTGAGCACGGCAGCGGTGGTCTCGTGCCCGGCCACCAGCATGGTCATGAGGTCGTCCCTCAGCTGCTTGTCGTCACAGTCCTCCCCGCGCAGGTCCACCAGGAAGCGCAGCAGACTCGCGTCCCGCACCTTGCTGTAGTCCCTCTGCTGCAGCGCCTCTAGATCGTCCTCCTGCCAGGTAGGGGCAATGCGAAAAGGAGGGGAGGGAGAGAGGCATGAAGTGGCAGGGAGCAGGGAGAGGAGAGAGAGATCAAGGGGAGGGACATAGAGTCCTCCCCCCGCAGGTCCACCAGGAAGCGCAGCAGACTGGCGTCCCGCACCTTGCTGTAGTCCCTCTGCTGCAGCGCCTCTAGATCGTCCTCCTGAGAGGAGAGATATGGGACAGGGGGAAGGAGCAGGCATGAAGGGGAAGGGGAAGGGGAAGGGGAAGGGGAAGGGGAAGGGGAAGGGGAAGGGGAGAGGAGGGGGCAACAGGAGGGCCTAAAAGTCCTCTGATGCTGCTGTTTAGTCTCCCACTTCCAGGTCCACCAGGAAGCACAGAAGGGAGAAAGGGTCGGCACAGAGAGTGCGTGGATGTGGTGTGGAGTGGAATAAGTAACAGTGCATGCAACAGCAGTTGCATGTCGCTCTTCAAGATCTTGCCCTTCACCTAGCGCCTCCCTCTCACTCCCCTCATCTCCCTCTCACTCCCCTCATCTCCCTCCTACTCCCCTCATCTCCCTCCTACTCCCCTCATCTCCCTCCTACTCCCCTCATCTCCCTCCTACTCCCCTCATCTCCCTCCTACTCCCCTCATCTCCCTCCTACTCCCCTCATCTCCCTCCTACTCCCCTCATCTCCCTCTTACTCCCCTCATCTCCCTCCTACTCCCCTCATCTCCCTCCTACTCCCTTCTTCCCCGCAGCGTGTGCAACCCACCCACCTGGCGGGTGGTGCGGGCGCGGGTGAGGAGGTGGTGCAGGCAGTCTAGGGATGATCACCTTGAGGTCCTGCTGGCTCAGATTGCAGCAGCGTGGCGCTCACCTCTCTTACTCCCGCACCGCACCTCATCAACGACTGCCGCGTGGGTTAGGCCGGTGCTCACTGCCCTGCTCGCTCCCCTGGGCTCACCTGGCGGGTGGCGCGGGCGCGGGTGATGAGGTCGTCGAGGCAGTCGTTGATCACCTTGAGGTCCTGCTGGAACTTCATCTGCCGCGGCACCACCAGGCTGGTGGGGTGCGAGGGGTGAGGAAGGGAGGGGGCGGGTGGGGGGCGAGAGGTGGTGAAAGGGTAAGAGAGGGTGGCAGTCGTTGATGACCTTGAGGCCCAGCTGGAACTTCATCTGCCGCGGTACCACCAGGCTGATGGTGGGTGGGGAGGAGGGGGTGGAAAAGAGGAAAGGAAAATTTATTGTTGCTGGCTCAGAAATTGGAATACAGCAGCTGTTAATCACCATGGGATGCTCACATTCACCCATACACCCACCCACCGACCTTATGAAGGGGATGTTCCAAGGAACACCAATGGACCTTATAAAGGGGATGTTCTAGGGAACACCAACGGACCTTATAAAGGGGATGTTCCAGTAGGGGATGTAGAACGTAGCGCGGTGCTCGGCCTCCGACAGTGTCCCATACACGGCCTTGATGACGGGCGACTCGCGCGTCACGGACCCAAAGTCATAGTTGAACACGGAGATGCCAATGATGTCCAGCGCTATGGACGAATACTCCGACTCCATGTCCATGCGCACGCCCTCACCCCCCGCGGCGGCTCCAGCCTGGTCGCAGAGCGCTTGCAGCTTGTCCACCGATCGCTTGGAGCACTCTGAGAACACCAGCGCCATGGCCTCCAGATATGCTGCATGGAAGCCCGGCACGATGGCTGGGGGGTACGGGGGTGCCAGGGATGGGTAGGGAGGGGGAAGCGGCAGGGAGAGGGGCGAAGCGGCAAGTCATAGTTGAACACGGAGATGCGAATAATGTCCAGCGCTATGGACGAATACCCCGATTCCATGTCCATGCGCACGCCCTGAGCATCAGCCCCGCCCTGGTCGCAGAGCGCTTGCAGCTTGGACATCATCGGCACCGCCGTGAGCATCAGCCCTCTGCCCTCAGCCCTGGTCGCAGAGCACCACCCACCCTCCCCACCGCTCACCATCCCTCACCCCTCCTGCGCTGCTTCACGTGTCCAAGTGAGCGGGGATGAGCCCCTTACCCATGATGGGCCCATCACCCCTTTCCTCCCGCTTCTCCACTAACAATCCCTCACCCCATGCACCCTCCTCACCCCTCTCCACCGCTCACCTCGTCTGCGCTGCTTCCACGTGTCAAAGTCAGCGGGAATGAGCCCCTTGCCCATGATGGGCTCCAGCAGCTCCGCCAGCATGCCCTGCGCGGAAGGAGGGGAGGGGAGCACGGGGGAGTCAGGATGGTTGGGTAGGGGAGGGGAGGGGAGCAGGGATGGAGGATACAGGGCGGTAAAGAGCAGTGCTGGGCAGTACAGGATCGGGCATTGAGTCGACTGAAAAGGCATGATGGGCTGTAGCAGCTCTGCCTGTGCCGTGACGTGGGGAAGGAAGCAAGGGGGGACAGCGGCGAGGGGAATGCACGGGAATAAAGAGCAGTGTTGGGCGGGATGCACCAGCTGTTGAGCGGTGCGGTGCGGTATCAATCGGTATAATCTCATCCGACGAGTCAGAGGCGTACCTTGTCATAGGCGAAGGGGTTCTCTTTGAGCACGTGGCGCGCAACGACTGGGTCAGAGATGACCACGAAGGCCTTGGGGCCGAAGGCGAGACGGTACACGCCTCCTAGCTGCACGCGCGGGACGGGGAAAGGGGGAATAGGGGGAGTGGAAGGCGAAAAAATGGGGGAGGGGGGATGAAAGGGAGATCTTTAATCAACGTCGTTATTTGTCGCCCAAGGCGAGACGATGCACGCCTCCTAGTTGCATGCGAGCGAGGGGGAAGGGGAGGATGAAGAAGGAACGTTTTGAGTCGACTCGATAAATAAGTCTTTGTCTACTAGACGGGACGCGGGACTTAGCTGCACACGAGGGACAGGAAAAGGAGCAAAAAGCAGAGAGCGGGGAGCAGGGAGCAGAGAGGGGAGAGCGCGGACTAGTGCAGGGAGGGAGCAAAAAGCAGAGAGCAGGGAGCGGGAAGTGCTCACCTCGAGGAACCAGTTGTGGAGGGCGAAGAAGAGCGGGCGGCCGACGAGGTCCGACACCTCGCCAGACGCTGTGGGCATGCCCGACATGTCGCCGCCGCTCAGCACGCGCGTGAGCAGATTGCTGCCCAGGTCGTACAGGCTCTGAAGGGAGGGAGGTAAGAGAGGCGGGGGGTGGTGGAGGAGAGAGGGGGGCTTGAAACGTTGGAGAGACACCTGGGCCGAGACGGTAGGCAAGCTCGACATGTCGCCGCCGCTCAGCACGCGCGTCAGCATGCTGCCGAGTCGTACATGCATTGATGGGAGCGGAGGGAGAGGTGGGCGGCTTTTGAGATGTTGCAAACGACACATCGCACACATCGCACGAGGTTGTGGGCATGCCCAACATGTCGCCGCCGCTCAGCACGCGGGTGACCAGATTGCTGCCAGAGTCGTACAGGCTCCGAGGGGAGGGAGGCAAGAAGGTCCTTGAGGCCGCCTCACCCTCATCCTTGAGGCGCCTAAAAAATCCCTCAGCATGAGGGTGAGCAGGTTGCTGCCAAAGTCGTACAGGCTCCGAGGGGAGGGAGGCAAGAACGGGGAGAATGAAGCCATTCGCATGAAGTCTGAACAGGGCCGTGAGAGCGAGAGCATTGGGAACGGAGGGGGATGTGGAGCAAAGCGCATGGAGGGGGGATGTACCTGCATTGCGGGCTTCTCCTTATTAGAGTCGCCATTTCCGCCGGACCCGGACGAAGCAGCTCTGATGGGAGCAACGTGCCGCTGCTTGCCTGCATTCACGCACAGCGCCAAAAGCAGCGTAAAATATTGGAAAAATCAGTTTAAGATTGTATCGAGTGGTCGAACCAGCCGCATTTAACGTGCGTGCGCTACCATCGCCGTTCAGAGGCCTCACACGCGGTGGTGTGAAACAACAAAAATTCTAGAATGGGAAGCAATACCAGTCTACAAATTTCATAATATGTGAACGCGTTGATTATTAGCGTTTTAATCATGTTGAAAATCATTTGAAGAGTTCAATGGTGATACTTAACTCTCAATGTGAAAAAAAGGTGTTATATATATGTACTTTGCTTTGTTTAGCCAATTACCCGCGAAAGCAACGCTCGCTGCTGGCTGCTTTCGGCCGCACGAGAGACTCTTGCTCCCTGCGACGAACGAGGAGGCACTCTGACCGACGCCGACCCCCGCGGTCGACAATGACGTCATGGCCGCTCCTCTCAAGCACGAGCGACGCGAGATGAAGGAATGCGAAAACTAGACGGGGAGGATCAATCCGAAGCCTTCAGAAAGAGGATTAGGAGGATCAGTTGGGCAAACTGTCCAACTTGATCAGCTCAACGGATCTCCCAAGGAGCTGGAGAGGAACGAGGTGGCGCGGAAAGGCTTGGGGAGGGGGGGGGGGGGGGAGAGAAAGAGAGGGACGGGTTGTGGGGGGAGAGCGGGGAATGTCAGAAGAAAAGCAAGTGAAGTGGGAGGGAGAGTCTGCAAGTGGGCGGGGGAGGGTGAATGGAAACTGGGGCCGCGCGCGACGAGATTGAGGGAAGTGGCGAAGTGCGACGAGAGGGTGGGACTGCGCGAGCGAAGACGGGCGAGGAATTTTTATAATCGTGAGAAATGCGTAAAGAGGGAAGCACATTCGCTATGGTTAATTGACAGATTGCGAACCCCAATCGCTTTCCTTCCGCTTTTACGCGTCAGCATTATCCATATCCAGCGAGTCGTAAAATTGGCAGACGACGTAACAACGTCGGTGTGAAAGTCAGAATATATGAACAGCACTAGCATTATACAAATTTCGAACACCCTATCACACATGCATAATATCCGGATCTTTCCACAAGCTCGAGTTGCTAATTCCTTGCGTTCCCTCACGCGCATTAATGAGTAGAAGATCTGAAACTTCTCTTTCTCGCATCTCTTTCTCGCGCACTTGTGTTTCCTCTTCTATTTTTGCCATACTCTTCTCGTCCAACCTTATTGTCCTTTCCACTTCCCTTTCCTCTTCATCCCTATCCATGTTGCTTTCACCAGACTCAACCCCATCCTCCCCTTCATCCTCCTCATCATCATCATCCACACCAACACTCACCCCTCGTCCCCCAACCACACCTCGAAGCCTTTGCCTCTTGGCAGGCCCATTGCTTCCCCCATCCTTACCCACTCTCCTCTTTGCCCTTATTTCCCCCTTCTCTTCCCACCTCCCTCCATCATCCAACCCCTTGCCAGACCCAGTATCACCACTTCTTCCCACATCTGCCCTGCCTAACCCCCCTCCCCTCACCTCCCTCCCTTGCAGCTTCTTCTTCCTTCCCCTCTCTTCTCCAGTACCTCCCCACTCCTCACTCCCCACCTCCTCGCCTCTCTTCCCCCCCTCCCCAAAGCACATGCATGCCTCGTCGCGAGGATGCCTGTACACACTCCGAGACACCCTCCGCTTCCTCACACTCTTGCTCTCCCCCACCATCGCCCTCACCCGCTCCTCCACCTCCTCCCACTCCATTATCCTCTCCTCCGCATCCCCAATCCACTCTTCCCCCGCCCGCAAATCTTTCCCGCCGCCCAGATCCTCCGCCAGCTGTGCGCGGTTGATACGCACAGACGGCCTGTAACCATGCTGGTAACCAGATTTTTTGTCAGATCTGGATCCGAAGTACATGCGCCGCCCGGCCACGAGCGCTGCCAGCTGGCTGCTGCCGTCCGCGGCAAGGAAGAGATCTGATTCGCTGGCCACAATGGTTTCAAGGGCGGTGATCTGGACGAGGGAGAAGTAGCAGCAAAGAGATGAGCATGAGGGATGATGGTGAGTGTGAGGGATGATGGTGAGTGTGAGGGATCATGGTGAGCGAGTGTGTGGGATGAATGGTGATGGGAGATGCAAGTGCATGGTGTGTGGTGAATGGTGAATGGAATGAAAGTAACTCACTAGGAGAGGCGAGTGGGAGTAGGGGGCGATCTCGAGAGGGGAGAGGAGGGTATCGATGGACAAGAGGAAGGGGAAGAGCGCTCGCACTGCCTCCAACCGCCGGCACCCGTTGAACCACCGCCTGCCCGGCCCCCTCAGCTGCTGCTCCTGCTGCGCCCTCATCCGCCCCTCCTGCTCCTCCTGCTCCCACGCAGCCCCTCGCCACCCCTCCTCCTCCCGCCACTCTTCCTCCCTCCCACCCTGCATCCCACCATCCCCACCGCTCAGCACCGATTCACCCCCAAGCACCAGACTGCACGGCTCAGCGGACACCCCTACGAGGAACAGCGGGCGCATTCTCCCCACGCCCATGCCGGCCAGCACCAGCGCCGCCTCCTCAGGGGCGACGGGGCAGCGGCCGATGCGGCGGTACCAGTCGGGGGCGTTGAGGCGGCCCTGCTGCTCGTACGCGTGCAGCACGGGGAACAGCAGGCGCCGGATGTCCCTCACCTCCTCCAACTCCTCCTCCGCCTCGTCCCGCTCTTGGCCCTGGCCCTGCTGCTCGTACTGATTGTCGTGTTGGTTCTGGTCTTGGGTTTGGTTGTGGTAGTCGTTGTGGTGGTGGCGAGCGGTGAAGGAGCAGAGGGAGTAGGCGGCTGAGACGGCGTCAAAGGGGATGTGAGCCGCCACGTAGCGAGGGATGCCTGCTGGGGGCTCTGGCTCTCGAGGGCCCACATGGCCTATGTCTGACTGCACTTGCCCAGATGTGTCATTCACCTGACCTTTCACCTGAGCTCTCACCTGACTCTCAACCTGGCCTTCCATCTTTTCTCTTTCATATTTTTTGCCCTGATTTTCCCCATTCCCAGCACCGCGATTCCCTGCTTCATCCTCGCCATCCATCCACTGCTCTTGCACACGTGGCAGCACCCCAGCGGCTGATCGTAGCCGTTGGATGGCCAGCTGTGCGGTGGCATGGACGGCTGGCAGGAAGGTGAGGGCGTGGAACATGCATCGACAGCGCAGGCGCTGTCAGAGGGGAGATGGGATGGGATGGAAGGAGGGCGAGGGGAGTGGGGGCGGGAAGAGGTGAGGGTGTGAGGGAGAGAAGACGGATAGTAGGAAACGAACTAGCAGGAGGAGATGAGATGAGATGGATGAATTAAGATTTTGGGTGGAGTGGAAGTGAGGGAAAAGAGAAGCGTAGAGAGGAGCAATTTACGGGGGGGAGGTGAAATGTAAGCAGCAGAGACCAGTGCAGCATGGTGTGGTCCAATGCGGCATGGTGCGGTCCAATGCGGCAAGGTGTGGTCCAATGCAACATAGCGTGAATTGTGTGTGTTTTTAGCACAGCCGGAAGCATGGGGTTCGAAGGTGCAATGGGTGAGGAAGCCATGGGAGTGAGCTGTGGTGAACTGTGGTGTAGTATGGTGCAGTGTGGTGCAATGTGGGGCAATGTGGTGCGGTGAAATCACTTACCTGAATGTGGAGAGGCAAGGCATGTGAGGCGAGGCTGGTGAGGAAGCACTGGAAGTGCAGCGAGCACACCCACTTATCATCAGCGACACATGGTGCGGTGCAGAGGGGTGCAGTGCGTAGTGATGTGAAGCAGAGCGGTGTTTCTAGACGTCTCAAAACACGTCATGTGGTGCAGTGCTATGTGTAGCAGAGCAGCAGTGCAGTGCTATGTGTAGCAGAGCAGCAGTGCAGTGCTATGTGTAGCAGAGCAGCAGTGCAGTGCTATGTGTAGCAGAGCAGCAGTGCAGTGCTATGTGTAGCAGAGCAGCAGTGCAGTGCTATGTGTAGCAGAGCAGCAGTGCAGTGCCGAGCGTGCTGCAACAAACCTACACGTGTGGTGGCATGGGGTCTGAGGCGAGGGCGTTGAGGAAGCCATTGAAGACTCAAGTGGAGGAGGCCCCGCCCGCCTCATCAGTGGCACACGGTGCTGTGCGGCGCAGGTGCCTTGCAGCATTTCACAACACACTGTGCGGTGCAGTGTGGTGCTGAGCGCACCTGAACATGCAGCGGCATGGGGTCGGAGGCGAGGGCGTTGAGGAAGCCGTGGAAGTGGAGGAGCCCCACGCGCCTCATCAGCGGCACCAGGCGCAGAAAGAGCTGCAATGGCACTTCCCGGGGGAACTGCTTCTCAGATACCTGCTTGCAGGGGAGGAAAGAATGGGGGGGGGAAGAGGAGGACGAGGTACAAGGAAGAGAGAGAGTAAGGCTATTACCAGATGAATTTGCAAGTTTCGTACCTCGCGTGAACCAATACAAAGGACCGTTTGAGGTGTTTTTGGGCGCCTCAACAAGCGCAGGAAGAGCTACAGTGGCGCCTCTTGGGGGGGAACTGCTTCTCCAATACCTACTTCCAGAGCGCCCTAGCAACCCCAACTGCCACAACAGCCACAATAGGCACAGCAGCCACAGCAGCCACATCAGGCAAATCAAGCAAAGGAGCCAAAGCAGCCAGACCAGCCCTAGGAACCCCAACTGGCACAGCAGCCATAGTAGGCACAACTGGCACAGCAGCCACATCAGGCAAATCATGCAAAGGAGCCAAATGAACACGCAACCCACGAAGCTACTCCTACTCTGACACTGGAGTAGGACACCGACATTGCAAAGAGAACAGTAGGATTGCTGTTTCCGTCCTGTGTTGACTCACAACAACAACAACAAGGATGACTCACGTTGACTCTCAACAACAAGGATGACTCACGTTGACTCCCAACAACAAGGATGACTCACGTTGACTCCCAACAACAAGAATGACTCACGCTGACTTCCAACAAGAAGGATAACTCACGTTGACTCCCATGATGTTGACATTGAGAGACTGGAAGGAGGGCGGAAGCTTCCTGATGACCTTGACTTGAGGCGCAAGCGATGAGATGAAGTGATCCGAGTCGAATACCTCCCCGAACTGGCTGAATGGCGCCCTCCCCTCGCACGCACACACAACCCCCCCTCCCCCACCCGCATACAGTCCCATGCATGCAAGCAAGCACAAGACAGGCAAGCACAAGAGAGGCAAGCACACGAGAGGCAAGCACAAGAGAGGCAAGCACACGAGAGGCAAGCACACGAGAGGCAAGCACACGAGAGGCAAGCACACGAGAGGCAAGCACAAGAGAGGCAAGCACAAGAGAGGCAAGCACAAGAGAGGCAAGCACAAGACAGGCAAGCAGAGAATGATGAGATGAAAGTTATCCGAGTCAAATACCTGCCCGAACTGGCTGAATCACATGCTCCCCTCGCACGAACACCCGTTCTCACACTCCCATCCCCACACACTCGCAATCCCCATCACACTCCCCACCCCATGACACCCCCATCGCATCACACTCTCTCCCGTACTACCCTCATCTCTTCCCACACACACCACATGCAAGGCCGCCAATGTCCTATACACATGCACTCATGCACAAAATGCACATGCATGCAAGTGCGTGCACGACACACACTCACCCACACACACCCACACCCACACACACACACGCCGATTCACCCACCCACGCCGATTCACCCACCCACTCATGGAACCACAACCGCACAAGACACAAACATATAATCTCTAATCACAAGCAGGTGCGGAAATGATATGGAAGAGCTGTGCAGGAGAGGGAAAGTCATCAAAAGAGGTTGACGTTGGGGGAAGAAGGTGGGCCCACGTGGGGAAGAAGGTGGGCCCACGTGGGGAAGAAGGTGGGCCCACGTGGGGAAGAAGGTGGGCCCACGTGGGGAAGAACATGTGGCTGAAGGGCTGCACGTGGGCCAACGTGGGCCCATGTGGTAGAGCTGAAGCCCTTGTACGGTGGAAGGGTCGCACTGACGTGTGTGGAGCCAACGGTTGAGCAACGGAATTCAAGAGTGGTTTTACACTCTTGTGTGTACGATACGATTGCTTGTGTGCACAATGTGGGAGTGGGAGGTGGATCACTAGGCTGAGGGGAAGGAGAGGAAGCGTGGGGGGGGACGGTGTATTTCGAGATTAGGGTTCATGATATACCACTCACAACATACCGGGAGTGGGAAAAGGTTCACCTGCCCCTAACGTTTTAGGATGTCCCAAAAGTTTTAGGATGTCCCAAAGTTTCAAGATGCCCCAAAAGTTTTAGGAGTCGCAAAAGTTTTATGATGTCCCAAAAGTTTTAGGATGCCCCAAAAGTTATAGGATGTCCTAAAACTCAGTAGGAGAAGTTTGTTTTGAGTCGAATCTGAAAACACTTGGACTGGGAGGTGGTTCACCTGGCTGAGGAGAAAGAGAGGAAGCGCGGGAGGAGGAGCGTGGCGTTGAGGTACAACGCGACCGCTGCTGCATTGCATGTCTGGGAGACAGGTGCGGATGGGAGGGGCGATGGGGTGTGGGCGGTCAGAAAGGGGGAAAAGGGACGAGGGAAGGAGGGGAGAGAGGGGAGGAGTGTGGCGTTGAGGTAGCACTCCGCCGCTGCTGCACAAAGGAACAAAAAAGTAGTAGTAAGAGCGAGAAAAAGAGTGGGACGAAGATTGAGAGGAAAAGTGCATCTTTCAACCCAAACGATATTCAAACAAGGAGAGATTCACAACTTGATGAGCAGATGACATGGCGGCAGGGAATGAACCGAGGAGGGGAAGGGGGGGGAGGGGGGGGTGGGTGAGTAAATGGGGACGATGGGAGACAAGCGGGCATTGGGTTCACTCACACTGTGAAGGTTCGGTACATGTGTGTGTGCACATGTATGCACGCACTCCCAAGGGTTGGATCCCATGCACATGTACCCTACCATGCACATGTACCCTACCATGCACATGTACCCTACCATGCACATGTACCCTACCATGCACATGTACCCTACCATGCACATATACCCTACCATGCACATGTACCCTACCATGCACATGTACCCTACCATGCACATGTACCCTACCATGCACATGTACCCTACCATGCACATGTACCCTACCATGCACATGTACCCTACCATGCACATGTACCCTACCATGCACATATACCCTACCATGCACATGTACCCTACCATGCACATATACCCATGCTAGTCAGGCACATGTGTGCACATGCATGCATCGCGCAACTTCCTACCTGTTTCCCACCTCCTTCCTTCCTCCTTCCTCCCTCCGCCCTATTGATCCCTCTTCCATGTGGCAAAGCTGACTGCATCACTGAGGCTGCCCATGGCTGCTACGGAGAAGAGCGGAACCGCATCCTCCCTCCCTTCCAGGGTGTTTTGAGAGTTCCCCAAAACACCCTGCTACTCCCTTCCCTTCCCCAGACGCACAGAGGCAGGCAGGCAGGCAGGCAGGCAACTGACCGCGACTCTGAGCTGGCTGAGACCACCCTTTGCTGCCACAGAGAAGAACGGACCCGCATCCGCCCTTCCCCCGCTGCTGCTGTCGCCATTGCTGCTCCTGCTGCCGCCGCCAGCAGCAGCGGCGCCATCACTACCAGCGCCTCTCCTCGGTATATGGCTGGCAGAGTGAGTGGCAGCAGAAGCGGCGGGAGCAGAGAGAGAAGAGTCGGCAAGGGCGCATGGGCGCCACTGCAGCGCCTCTGGGGGCTCCTCCCACAGGCCTGGTGGCTCGCGCTGCCATTGCTTCTGGGGAGGGGGGAGGGGGGACGGGGGATGGGGGATGGGGGAAAGTGGAGGGAGAGAGGGAAGAAGAAGGATAATTGTGAGTAGGAGCACAGGACTGCACGCCACTGCTCCACCTCAAAGGTGGCTTTTGAGTCGACTCAAAAGTCACCTAGGAGCACAGGACTGCACGCCACTGCTCCACCTCAGGAGTGTTCATTGCCACTGGTGCGCCTCTGGGGGAGTGTTCATTGCCACTGGTGCGCCTCTGGGGGAGTGTTCATTGCCACTGGTGCGCCTCTGGGGGAGTGTTCATTGCCACTGGTGCGCCTCTGGGGGAGTGTTCATTGCCACTGGTGCGCCTCTGGGGGAGTGTTCATTGCCACTGGTGCGCCTCTGGGGGAGTGTTCATTGCCACTGGTGCGCCTCTGGGGGAGTGTTCATTGCCACTGGTGCGCCTCTGGGGGAGTGTTCATTGCCACTGGTGCGCCTCTGGGGGAGTGTTCATTGCCACTGGTGCGCCTCTGGGGGAGTGTTCATTGCCACTGGTGCGCCTCTGGTGCGCCTCTGGGGAGTGTTCATTGCCACTGGTGCGCCTCTGGGGGAGTGTTCATTGCCACTGGTGCGCCTCTGGGGGAGTGTTCATTGCCACTGGTGCGCCTCTGGGGGAGTGTTCATTGCCACTGGTGCGCCTCTGGGGGAGTGTTCATTGCCACTGGTGCGCCTCTGTGGGCTACTCCCACAGTTATCGCGGCTCGCGCTGCCACTGCTTCTAATGGGATGGGATGCCGCGGAAAAGGGGGGAAATGGAGGGAGCGTGAGAGCGCGGGTGGAAGGGAGGGAAGGTGGGGAAAGGAAGATCTTGAGTGGAAATACAGGATTGTCACTGGTGTGCCCTGGCTGGACGTTTCCCCACACAGGCCAGGTGACCCTGGTTGCCATGCCACTGCTTCTGATAGGGGATGAAGGGGGAAGAAGGGGTGCGGGAGGAGGGGAAAGGGGGGGACTTTGAGGGGAAATTGAGGAGATTTGAGTGTGGGATATTATGAACAGTCCACAATGACGTGGGTCGGGCTGTCACTGCTTCTGATGGGGAAGAAGGCACCTCTGAGGGCTCGCAACCTATGTGGGGGCGTCTGTAGGGAAGAGGAAGCGCGTGTTGAGTAGACGCGCGTGATTGTCACTGCTGCGCCTCTGGGAGCTTCCCTTCCCACCCTTCGCAAGCAACCACCCACTTCCCCCCCTCCCCCCTCTCCCCCCGCACGCTCACCGCCACCAGCGATTGTGCTGCGAGGCCCAGGAGCCTGCCTCGCATCGGCGCCGCGCGATTCCCCTCATCCAGACGCAGCGACGGGTACAGTAACGAGGATTGTAATAACGGGGAAGTCTGTGACCCCTGGGACGATCTCGCTGACGACCATAACGTCGAATGACGTAAGCTTTCCTGTGCTAAGATTTCCTCTGCTCCCCAGCTTTCTCTTTCTCTCCTCCTCAGATGGTCCCCTCCTATCGTGCTTGAGGCAGCGCGCGTGCGATCGTCACCGATCTCCACCACGAATTCTACATCCCACAGGCTGACTAGCGCGGCCGCTAGCAGCAGCAGCGCTAGCAGCGGGTGGGACCTCCGCAGGCAGGAGAAGCGGGAGAAGCGGGAGAAGCGGGGGAAGAGGGGGAAGAGGCCGGCGGTTCGTCGCCGATCAAAGGAAGGCTGGCGTGAGAGTGAGAGAGACGACTTGACGGGCGTGAACGAGAACGGCCACGATTGCAGCCAGAACCGCAGCGACGATCGCAGCCGTCGGAGGATCCTGTTGCAGCGGAGAACGCGGGGAGGGGGGAGGATGGAGCCGGCAGAGGGGGGCCGCGGAATGCCGGCCGCTGATAGCGGGTAGGAGGACTGAAGGGACACGCTTCGACGGACATTGCTAGGGAGAAGGCCGAGCAGAACGGAAGAGAGGGAATCGCGTTCAGTGGTGAAAACGGAGTGCCCCATATGGAGGACGGGAAGGACGGACGTTGCGAGCGTGACCCATGCGTAGCTGCTGCTGCTTGCTATCGGATTTGTAATTGGTTAGGGGGTATCCGGGTCGTACATTTACAGTTCATGCTTCGTGGCTCGGAACGGTTCCACACAGTGGAGAGCGGTTTTTCCGTTTACCGACTATTACACGACGAACGCATGAGACCGCAAAAAAGGTACAAGAGCCGTACGAGCTGCATACCACCTTAGAATGGACGGCAAGCTATATGGACAGCCTCGGTATTGTCTTTGATTCGACCTGCATTCCTTATATTTAATTATTTAGGCAGCAGTTTGTTATCTTGTGTTAGCACTAGGGATCCAAAGTTCACCACACCAAATCGCACCAAAACACACGGAAGCACATCATACCACGCCACAGTATCGTCCTTCAACTGAAGACCACTCCCGTGCTGACCTGTGACCAACCAACCAACCATTTCCGCAGCCCAACCCAATCCCCCAGCAGCCAATCAGCGCGCAGAATCGCCACAATCCAATCCCAAGGCGCCTACCGCTTCCTCCCACTTTCTCTTCATCCCTCCCCTTTTCCCGTCCGCATTTCGCGCCGTCTCCGCAGCACGGCGTTACGACGAGAAAAGAGCAGCATCGCTGATGCCGCCACGTCGATCCTACCGCTGATTGCGTAGCGTCGAGCGTCGGACATAATTCTGCTCCGGCTCGTGCGAGTGAAGCTTGGCCGATTGTGGAAATCGCTATTGATGCACTCGCACATCCATGGCAACGTAGCTTGAGAAATAAGCTGCTCGCCATCACCCGCTCCTGTAGCCTGTAGGATCCTTCGCGCCGTCGCCTGGTCGCGTCATCATGGACAGGTGCGCGATCAGCCAGAGTTCCCGCGCAACCCGATTCCCGTCTCTGTCGCCTACGCATCAATCCATTGCGTCAACTGTCAGCCAGGCATCCTGTCGCAATGCCGTCTCGAATCCTCAATGGTCGAATGGGCTCGTCGCCGCTGCGTCGGGTGTCCGACCTGTGAGCGCGATCGGCGCCGTTATCCCTGCATCCGTGCCGCATAAGCATGAGCAGGGCCGAGGGAATCTACGATCCCGGATTTCATCGTCGCCGTTCGTTACCAGGCCATGCCACGCTGGCAGCTCCTCCACGTGGACACGGTCGTGTCCGTCCGATAGTTCTTTGCCACGTGGCGTGCGCAGCGCAGGGATTGGAGTGAGATCGACGAGGTTTAGGGTACGGCGTAGCGCGTCTGAGTCAGCATTCCCCGTACACGTGGATCAGGCAGGAAATGTGAGCGACGCGGATAGTGAACGGGAAATCAGCAACAGCAGCCGGAATGTTAAAGGTTCATCGGAATCATCATTCCCTCTATCCAGCGTATTGCTAGCTGCCACGTGTATGGCGATGGTTGGTGCACAGCTGGCGGCGTCGCTGCCAGCTCACGCCGCTTCTGCGGTGCTGAAAGCCCCGTCAAAAACGGCAGCAGCACCGGCTGTAGCACCGGCTGCAGCACCGGCTGTAGCACCCCCAGCAGCATCACCAGTGCCGTCTGCAGCTAGCGGTTCGGATGCAGCAGCATCCGTGGCAAACGCGGCGGCAGCAGCTTCTGAGGTTGTAGGGGCGGAAGCCGCAACGACCGCAGCTGCTGCAGCGGAAGGCACGGTAGCAGCCGGAGGAACATCCGCGGCGGCAGGCGCAGCGGCCGGCGCAGGCGGAGCAGCGGCGGGGGGGAAGCGCAAGGGGAAGAAGTCCGGGCGGGAGCGCAAGGGGGGGCGGGAGGCGGCGACGATGGAGGTGGAGGAGCGCGAGGCGTGGGCGCGCGGACTGCCCGTGGTGCAGGAGCGCGTGCCGTACTCGCAGGTGGTGGCGCTGAAAAAGTCCAATGAGCTGAAACACATCATCAAGCACCCTCAGTCGTCGCTCCAGGTGCGTGGGGTAATGAAGCGCGCCGATGAGACCACGGCATGTATATCCTGCGCTCTTCACACTCCCTCTCAACCCCCCCCTCTGTCCTGCCCCCTCCCCCACTCCTTTCCCTCTTCTTCCCTTTACCCAGTCGGAGCCAGAGCGAGTGTTTCTGGTGCTCAAGGACGACCGCGTGGTGCGCTGCATGCTGCCTGCTCGCACCCAATCTAACCACCTCCTCCACCCCCTTCCAACCCCCCTTCCACCCCACACTCACTCCCCCTCACCAGTCGGAGCCCGAGCGAGTGTTCCTGGTGCTCAAGGACGACCGTGTGGTGCGCTGCATGCTGCCGCCCCTCGACCGCGACCCCTCCTTCTGGGCGGCATGGAAGGATCTCAGCCTAGATTCGCTCACCATCAACGCCTTCTCGCCGCCGCCCGCGCCGCCCGTCATGCAGCCGTGGGGGCTCTGGGGTCCTTCCTTGAAGTTTCTGCAGGACTGGGGGTGGGTGGGGGGAGGGGAGGGCCGGCGGGAGGGGGTTGGGGGGAAGGGGAAGGGGGGAGCGGAGGGGGCGGGGGAGAGTGCGGGGAAGGGGAAAGGGAAGCCGTTGACTGCTAAGCAGAAAGCGGAAGCTGCTATGAAGGAGCGGGTGAGGAGGCTTGCAGAAGAGAGGAAGGAGACGGAGAGGAGGAGGGTGGAGAAGGAAAGAGAGCTGAAGAGGCAAAGAGAGGAGAGGATTCGGATGGAAAGGGAGGAGAGGAGGAGGGCGGAGAGGGAGGAGAGGGAGCAGCAGAAGCAGGAGGAGCAGGAGCAGAGAGGGGGCGGTGCGAAAGCGAAAAAACGGGGAGCAGAGGAGAAGAATGTGGAGGCGAGGAGAAAGAAGCTAGTGGCTCAGGTGGCCAGTCAGGAGCGCTGGGGTTCGTTCTACAAGCAGGCGGCTAATAACGAGGGCGTGCGGTTCCTGATCGGGGCGGCGTTCTTTGTCTTTTTCTACTTTGGGATTATTGTGAATGTGAAGAAGAAGAGGAAGGATTACGAGGATCGGATCAAGTTGGAGCGGGCGGCGGAAGAGGAGAGGAGGAAGATGGAGGGGTGGGAGGAGGATATGGAGGAGATGGAAGCGAGGGAGGAGGAGGAGGCGGAGAAGGAGAAAGAGAGGGAGAAGAAGAGAGGGAAGAAGGCCGGGGTGGTGGTTGCGAAGGGGAAGGATGGGAAGGAGGCGGAGGATGGGAAGGGTGAGGGGAAGGGCGAGGGCGAGGGGGAGGGGAAGGTGGAGGAGGAGAAGAACCAGGCCATTCTGGCCGGCATGCGGTTCATGCGGTCCGGAGCTAAAGTTCGGCGCGCACGCAAGGGCAAGGTGAGAAGGAGGGGGGGTTGGGAGTAACATGAGTGGGGGGAGAGGGGCAAGGTGAGAAGGAGGGGGGGTTGGGAGTAACATGAGTGGGGGGAGAGGGGCAAGGTGAGAAGGAGGGGGGGTTGGGAGTAACATGAGTGGGGGGAGAGGGGCAAGGTGAGAAGGAGGGGTGGTTGGGAGTAACATGAGTGGGGGGAGAGGGGCAAGGTGAGAAGGAGGGGGGGTTGGGAGTAACATGAGTGGGGGGAGAGGGGCAAGGTGAGAAGGAGGGGGGGTTGGGAGTAACATGAGTGGGGGGAGAGGGGCAAGGTGAGAAGGAGGGGTGGTTGGGAGTAACATGAGTGGGGGGAGAGGGGCAAGGTGAGAAGGAGGGGTGGTTGGGAGTAACATGAGTGGGGGGAGAGGGGCAAGGTGAGTGGAAGCAAAGAGACTGCTTACGCATTTACCAACTCGGTGAGATCCACTGAGGACTCAGCGTGAGGTAGAGGAGGTGGTGGAATTCTTCCAGTCCGCCGAGAAGTACCGCCGCCGCGGCTCCAAGATCCTCTTTTTCTCCCTTCCTCTCTCTCCCCCAACCCCTCCGTTCCGTCCATCCTTGCCCTTCCCATCCCAGCGCACGCGTCGCCCCACCTACCTGGACCTGAGCGCAGAGGTGAAATTCTCCGATGTAGCTGGGTTGGGTGAAATCAGGCGAGAGCTGGAGGAGGTGGTGGAATTCTTCCAGTCCGCGGAGAAGTACCGCCGCCGCGGCTCCAAGATCCCTTCGGGCATCCTGCTGTGCGGCGAGCCGGGCAGCGGGAAAACTTTGCTGGCCAAGGCGGTGGCAGGCGAGGCGGGAGTGAGCTTCTTCTCGGTGTCGGCGAGTCAGTTCGTGGAGATCTTCGTGGGCGTGGGGGCCAGCCGCGTGCGCGCGCTGTACAACGAGGCCAGGGAGAACGCGCCGTCGGTGGTGTTCATTGATGAGCTGGACGCTGTGGGACGACAGAGAGGGCTCACTGAGGGGTCTGGCGGGCAGGAGAGAGACGCCACGTTGAACCAGGTGAGGAGGGAAGCAAAACAGGTTGGATGCTGTTTCCGGTGTGTGTGAGAGCATGTGGGATAACCAGGGAAGAGTAGGGAGAATGCACCGTCGGTGGTGTTTATCGATGAGCTGGGTGCTGTGGGGCGACAGAGAGGGCTCACGGAGGGGTCTTTTGAGGCGCCTCAAAAGGAGGGGTCTGGCGGGCCGGAGCGAGACACTACTCTGAACCATGCATGTGTGGGCATGCAGGGTCATGTGCGGGCATGCAGGGTCATGTGCGGGCATGCAGGGTCATGTGCGGGCATGCAGGGTCATGTGCGGGCATGCAGGGTCATGTGTGGGCATGCAGGGTCATGTGCGGGCATGCAGGGTCATGTGCGGGCATGCAGGGTCATGTGCGGGCATGCAGGGTCATGTGCGGGCATGCAGGGTCATGTGCGGGCATGCAGGGTCATGTGTGGGCATGCAGGGTCATGTGTGGGCATGCAGGGTCATGTGTGGGCATGCAGGGTCATGTGCGGGCATGCAGGGTCATGTGCGGGCATGCAGGGTCATGTGCGGGCATGCAGGGTCATGTGTGGGCATGCAGGGTCATGTGTGGGCATGCAGGGTCATGTGTGGGCATGCAGGGTCATGTGTGGGCATGCAGGGTCATGTGCGGGCATGCAGGGTCATGTGCGGGAGTATGTGATTTCGGAGTCAACTCAAAGTCACCAGCAGAGCAGAGGGGGCTCATGGAGGGGTCTGGCGGGCAGGAGAGGAACGCCATGGGAATGAGCATGTGCATGAGGGGAGGAGCGTGAGATTCTCAATCAAACAGTTCCCGCCCTGGTGCCCTGGTGGTGCCCCGGTGCCCTGGTGGTGCCCCGGTGCCCCGGTGCATTATGCCCGAGCAGAGCCTGTCAAAGCTCTGGGCTTCCGCCAAAGCCTGGCATGGTGTTGAATTGGTGAGAGAAACATGTTGCGGTGCGGGGTAAGGCCAAGCGATTCACTTGCCTTTCACGCCTCTCTTTTTCATTCCCTTTTTGACTGTATGCTGTAGCCCACTCAAGTCCTTTCCTTACATTATTCCCACTCTCCTGCTCTTTCCAACCTGCTTCCCTCCCTCCCACCCCAACAGCTGCTGACGTGTCTGGATGGATTTGAGGGCAGAGGTGACGTCATCACCATAGCAGCCACCAACCGGCCGGATATTTTGGACGCTGCCCTGGTGCGGCCGGGCAGGTTTGACAGAAAGATTTACATCCCGAAGCCGAGTCTCAAGGGGCGCGCTCAGATCCTGGAGGTGAGGGGACTTGCAGCTTGTTGGCCGGACTCTATGGATTTCACCTGAGCTCTCTGTTGGACTCACCTGAGGAAACGTTTAGTTTGATAGTTGTGATGTCCTTCAGCATTCCGTTCAATCACACTCGTCTCTCTCCCCCTCTCAGGTGCGCAGTTGCACGCAACAAGGTGGAGGGTGATAATGTATTAAATTTTGAGTTGACTAGAAGTCACCTCGTTCTCTACAATCACATCCTTCTCTGTCCCCCCCCTACAGGTGCACAGCCGCAACAAGGTGTTGGATGATGACGTGGTGTCGACTCAAAGGTCACCTCATTCCCAATAATCACAATGACCACGCACCCCTCTTTCTCCGACCGTCCCCCCCACAGGTGCACAGCCGCAACAAGGTGTTGGATGATGACGTGGACTTTGAGGCGGTAGCGCAGGTGACAGATGGCATGTCGGGCGCTGAGCTGGCGAACGTGGTTGACGTGGCGGCGCTCAGAGTGCTGCGGGAGAACCGATCCGAGGTGGGTGGTGATGGGTGGTGAGCGGTGAGGGGTGGTGATTGGTGGTGGGTGGTGATATGTGGTGGGTGGTGATGTGTGGTGGATGGTGATATGTGGTGGATGGTGATGTGTGGTGGGTGGTTATGTGTGTGTGGTGGGTGGTTATGTGTGTGTGGTGGGTGGTTATGTGTGTGTGGTGGGTGGTTATGTGTGTGTGTTGGGTGGTTATGTGTGTGTGGTGGGTGGGTGGTTATGTGTGTGTGGTGGGTGGTTATGTGTGTGTGGTGGGTGGTTATGTGTGTGTGGTGGGTGGGTGGTTATGTGTGTGTGGTGGGTGGTTATGTGTGTGTGGTGGGTGGTTATGTGTGTGTGGTGGGTGGTTATGTGTGTGTGTTGGGTGGTTATGTGTGTGTGGTGGGTGGTTATGTGTGTGTGGTGGGTGGTTATGTGTGTGTGGTGGGTGGGTGGTTATGTGTGTGTGGTGGGTGGTTATGTGTGTGTGGTGGGTGGTTATGTGGTTATGTGTGTGTGGTGGTGGGTGGTTATGTGTGTGTGGTGGGTGGTTATGTGTGTGTGGTGGGTGGTTATGTGTGTGTGGTGGGTGGTTATGTGTGTGTGGTGGGTGGTTATGTGTGTGTGGTGGGTGGTTATGTGTGTGTGGTGGGTGGTTATGTGTGTGTAGTGGGTGGTTATGTGTGTGTGGTGGGTGGTTATGTGTGTGTGGTGGGTGGTTATGTGTGGTGGGTGGAATTCAAGGTGCGTCAAAAAAGCTGCTGCACATACTATATTGCTCCCTCCCATCCCTGCCCTCGCTTGTCTTGGTCCCCATCACATCACACAGACAACAAGCTGCAGGCCGCCATACTCAACGGTGGCGGGTACCTGTGGCTGCACCACTCTCCAAACGACCCCATCCATGCTCCCCTTTCTCCTGCCCCGCCTCCCCTCCGCCTTCCCTCTCCCCCTCCCTCCCTGACCCCCCCTTCTCCCATCAAATCACAGCAGACGGCATGCTGCAGTGCAGTCCACCCATCCCCGGCCCTTACCATCTCCCCCCCATCCCTTTCCCTCAACCTTTTCCCTCCCCCCTCCCCATCAGTTCACAACAGACAAGATGCTGCAGGCCGCCATGCTGGAAGAGGTTGAATACACCCTTTCTCAGCTCCGTTCTCTTCTCCTCTCCGCCTCCCTCTTCCCCTGTACCCCCCTTCCCATCAGATCACAACAGACGACGTGCTGCAGATGGCCATGCTGGAGGAGGGGGGTGTACTAGCCCCTTCCTCAGCTCCCCTTTCTATTGCAATTGCTCCTTTCCTCGTCCACCCTTCTTCCGTCCTCCCTTTTTTCTCATCAGATCACAACGGACGACATGCTGCAGGCCGCCATGCTGGAAGAGGGGGGGTACTCCTTTCCCCACGTATCCCCTTCGCAACATTCTTCTTCTTCTTTCCCCCCCTCTCTCTCCCATCAGATCACAACAGACGACATGCTGCAAGCCGCCATGCTGGAGGAGGGAGGGTACCCGTCGCCCCACGAGGGCAGCCCAATCAGGCAGCGCCAGCTGGCACTCAACGAGGCGGCGCTGGCTGTAGTGGCGTTCAACTTCCGCGACTTCCAGAACATTCAGCTGGTGGGTTGGTGAACATTCAGCTGGTGGGTTGGTGAACATTCAGCTGGTGGGTTGGTGAACATTCAGCTGGTGGGTTGGTGAACATTCAGCTGGTGGGTTGGTGAACATTCAGCTGATGGGTTGGTGCATCCGTGAATGTTTTGTGAGCATTTTGAATGGGGCTCAGGAGCCGTGAATGTTCAAGTGAATGTCTGCAGTTGGGATGTGGGTGTTGAGATGAACGTTCAGCGAGCATTCAGCAAGTGCATGTATAATCAATATTAATCAGCAGGTGTTTGAATGTTTAACAGGCTGATTTCTTGGTGAACACTGAGGACAATATCCCGGTGAACGTTTTGAAGATGAAAGAGTTCAGCCGGTGATTGGGTAGGCGGGCGGGCACGTGGCTGATTGAGTGGGTGATAAATTCTCATTGTTTATGTCATTTGCTTCCTGAACACTCCCAACTCCCCCTCGCCTCCCTCCCCCCATTCTCTTGCACTTCTTCCTCTTCCTTTCCCCGCCCCGCTCATCCAGATCACGGTGGTGCCGCGAATGACGGAGGAGAAGGGTTCAGTGCGGTACAAGCTGGTGGACACGCAGAAGATGAAGGCCAACTTCATCTCTGCCTCGTGCCTGCGTGACTTCATCACCGTTCAGCTGGCGCCCATGGTGGCCGATGAGATGTGGAACGGCGCCGAGGAGGTGAGTGGGTGTGCCATAGATTTGCCTGCAGCAGGCTGATCTGTCTCCAGAGGTGGAAGTCACGGTGCTAGGAGTGCATACGGGACTTCATTATGGTGCAGCTGGCGTCCATAATGGCCGACGAGATGTGAAACTGAGCAGAGGAGGTGGGTGATTTGTATGGAGCAGTGGATGGGGTGAGGCAGTTTTGCTGTGCTACTAGCCTTGAGAACGGCATGGCCTTTTCTGTCAAGCCAGTTCACCTTTCTCCCTTTCCTTTCTCATCCCCATCAACCCCCTCATCCCTCTCATCCCCCTCATCTCTCTATTCCCTATCATTTTCACCATCCCCATTATCATCGCCCTTATCCACCTTGCGTCCTCGAACCAATCCCCATCTGCCAGACGTGCACCATCTGGGCGGACCACGCTGACGTGGCACGCCGCACAGCGCGCCAGGTGGCTCTCAACGGTTTGTCAGCGCCGAGTGAGGAGGGCGCGTTGTACGGCATCGGCGTGGCGGCTGTAGACGCACCGTGGCGCCGTGAGGCTGTTGATGCCGACGCTTCCCGCATTCTTGAGGAGTGCCGCACCCGCGCTGCTCAGGTGGGTGTGGTTGAGATGGGAGTGGTTGCGGAGGGGACGGTTGCGGTGGGTGCGAGTGAGGAGGCCGCACTGTATGGCATCGGCGTGGCGGTTGTGGATGCACCGTGGCGCCGCGAGGCCGTTGATGCCGACGCTTCCCGCATTCTTGAAACAGTGCCGCTCCAGGGCTGCTCAGGTGGGTGTTGTGAGTGGTGTGAAAGTGGGGAGGCAGGCCCTGCGGCACGTGATCTCGCGGCACGTGATCTTGCGCCACGTGATCTTGCGCGGTATGGGACTGTGCGCCTCATGTGGGTGCGGTGAGTGCTGTGCTTGATGGATGCTCCATGGGCGCTGAATGAGCCGCTCCAGGGTCGTGCAGGTGGGTGCACCAGTAGACAGGCTCTTCTCCCTCTCCCTCTTCCTCTCCCACTCTCTCTCCGTCTCCCTTTCCCTCTCCCTCTCCTAACTACCCCAGTTTCCTTTCCTCCCTATTCAAATCACATCCTGCAGCACGACCGCAGCCTGTTGGGTGCACTTGTGGACAGCTGGACAAGCTCCTATAGCCTCTTCTGTCCGTATCACCCCACTCCTCATCTCCCCCCAACCACTCCCTCCTTTTCCACTTCCCTCCTCCCCCCTCCTCAGATCCTGCAGCGCAACTGTAGCCTGGTAGATGCGCCAGTGGCCAGGCTCGCCCTCTCCCTCTCCAAACCCCTGTCCCCCTCCCCCACCCTGTCCCCTCTACCCCCTTTTCCCCCTGTCCAGATGAGATCCTGCAGCGCAACCACAGTCTGGCGGATGCACTAGTGGACAAGCTGGGCGAGCTTCAATACCCTCGTCTGTCCCTTACGCGCCCCTCCCTCTGCCCTCCCCTCCCCCTTTCCAAACCCTCCTCGTCTGAGTCTGCGGCGCAACTGCAGTCTGGTGGACGTGCTAGTGGACAAGCTGGGCAGGGCAAGCTCCTGTGCCCTCTCCTGTCCCTTACTCCCCTCTCCTGTCCCTTACTCCCCTCTCCTGTCCCTTACTCCCCTCTCCTGTCCCTTACTCCCCTCTCCATCCCCAACCCCCACCCTGTCATCCCCTCCCCACCTTCCCACTGCCTCAGATCCTAAGGCGCAATCGCAGTCTGGTGGATGCACTAGTGGACAAGCTGATAGAGGAGAAGGCGATGGGCGGCGAGGAGTTTGCCAGCCTGGCGCGGCAGTACGGGTCGTTTGACACGCCGCCGCCCTCCCCCGTGGAGATGAGGGACCGCCAGCTGGCACGGTTCCGAGAGGCCATGATGGCCGGCGAGAAGGAGCGGGCGGCACGTGTGCTGCTGGCTGACCCTGTTGCTGTGGAGTGATGCTAGTTGATGTGTATTTGAGTGGGGTCCAGTGTGTTTGCTGGTAGGTTATTCTCATTCACAAGATTGCAAGAAAATACAGAATCAGCTTTGATGAATCGTTTAGCATTCCTTTATGTTCAATCACAAGCTAGATTTTTACTGATGGCAAGGCATGGAATGGAAGGAAGCGTCTTCCTTCGTCGCATTTTCTAACATACCATACCGTATGGCAGTTGTACCGTACCGCACTCTGACTCCAGCGAGAATATTTTTTATTTGAAGCACATCAACCACATTGCATGAGCTCCATCCAGGTCATACACATCAGCCATGGCGGTCCCGCCCTACTTCACCTCGAACCAAGCCGCCGCGCGTTGTTTCGAAGTTGGGTTATTAGCCACTGCACAAAGCGTTCCTTTTCGCAGCCATGGTTGTCACTATCCATCGGCTCTCCCTTTTCAGTTGCTTTCGACGAGTTTCACAGGGGCTCGTTTTCCTCCTCTCGGCTCGTTGTTCTCTCACCCACTTTCGTCGAAGTAATCCCGACTAAGACAAGATGGACGCCGCATCAGGTCTGCATCTTGTAGTACTAACAAATTGCCCTCGTGAGACTCGTTCCAGCTTAGGGTGATGCTTCTGCGGCTCAGCGCTCGCCAGCAAGCTGGCGACCCCATGGATTTACAGTTTGACACTTCTGATTGTTAGTTCTATTCTAATTAAGTCCTTCTTTCATGCTGAGTTAACTTAAGAACATACCTGAACTCCCCTTGTCCATTCCGTCCCTATCTTCTCCCCCTTACAGCCTCCACGTTAGATGCAGTCGACATGCTGCCAGCTCCCCTCTGGCACCACATATTCCGCCGCCTGCTGCTGCCACCGTCCCAGCCGGACGATCTACTGGTGCCTCCGGATACTGACCGCACAGGTAGCGAGCGGCACAGGAGAGATGCGGACATCTACGGAGCTTCCTGGCCGCTGCTGTGCTGCGCTCTCACCAGCAAGAGCCTCCTCCAGCACGTCCTCTCCTTCTCCGTGAGTCACGTCCTCTCATCTTCCCAATGAAAATTCCATCCCTTTTACTTCAATAATATATAGCGTTTCTTTTTGTTTTTTTAACCATGTTTCATACACGCACTGTGATTTTTAATTGATATCGCCACAAGCCCAAGACCTCCATATATTTCTTAAGAACGCATTGACGAGGTCTGGTGGTGTTATGTCACTGCAGGAGAACCAACCGATCTCGCTCATCTGCAACCATCATGACCCGCAGTGGATGGACAACATCCGTTTCTTCCTCCACCACGGCGGGCTCCACTCCCTTGACCTCACCTTCACCACACCAGAGCACGTGGACACCCTGGGCCCCCTCATTGCACGCTCCAGCGCCTCCCTCACATCCCTGGGCCTCGAGTTGCATGGTTGGCACATATGGCAGGATCGCAAGGGGTTGGGCTTCCTGAAAGACTGCTTGCAGCTGCAGCGGCTGAAGCTGGGTCGGGGCAAGTGGAAACTGAATGGGAGTTGTGCGAATGCAGCGTGGGTGCAGTCGCTGCGCAGTCTGACCCTCACATACATGCAGCACATTGAATTGGAGCATGAGTTTCTGGACGCCATCACGCCGCAGCTTACGGAATTTACTCTCTACCAGGTCTCCCACCTCCTCCACTCTGGCACCATCCGCCACAGTTTCAGTTTCTCCAATGCACGCATTCTCCGCTTCCTCTTCCAGGACACGAAACTCTTTTTTTCTCTCAACCTCGCAGCCTCCCTCACAACCCTCTCTGTCATGGGTGGCTTTGTCGAGCTCACCTGCCATTCGGACAGCCCTTTCGCTCTCCACCAGCTCCTTCTTTATGCCCGTTCCGAACTCCGTACCTCCCTCCTCTGCTTCGCATCTGTCAAGGTCATCTACTTGGATGCTCATGCCGATTACCAGTCCGTGTGCCAGTCCCTCCAAGAGTTCTCCACCGACCCACCTTCACAGGACATTCCCAGTGCCAGCTCAGATCGCTCTTGGATGAGCTGGCTCCACACAGTTGCACCTACAGTGGAGGTGCTTATAGTGGAGCATGTGGTCCCTTTCACTGAAATGAATGTGGAGTGGCATAGCCTGCGTAGCCTTGGGATTGTCGTGCTGTACTCGGAGGGTGGGGAGATTGATAAGGATCGGGAGACTTCCGTGGAGGGCGTTTATCGTTTGAACACGCTGGATGAACGAGAATTTGACGATGGGATTGGATATGCCGACGATCCTGACCCGGACGAGCTGATGGGCCCTCCTTCCATCAAGGCCCCAAACCTGGAAGCCCTCTTCTTTCCAAGTGAAGGGTTTGATGGAGATAATCTTCTGGCAACCCTGAAGCACAACTACCCATCATTGGGGTTATATTCCATTGTCGATAGAACGTTTTACTGGGAGAGGAAAGGGGTGAGGTTGATAAATGCTCCTTTGGTGCATGTGAGGGGCAAGAAAGGTGGGAGAGAGACGGGGAAACCATCCAAGACTGTGAAGGAGAAGATGCATAGCGTGAATAAGCATCTGATAAAGGGGTACAGTGTTGATGATGAAGAGGCATATATGCTGAAAGTGGAAAGGGAACTGAAGGCCTTCAATTATCAGGCTGATGACTTGTCTGATTTTGAAAGATTTTTCCTGTCGCAAGTCTGATTATTTTTTACATTTTTTTTTTAGGCAATACTGATTTCCCTGCCTTTTTTTCTTAGTGGACACTGATTTTCCTACTGCTGACAAGGTTTTGTCTAATTCATGTCACTTCTGGATGGCACGTAAAGTGATTTACTGGACAATATACTTGTTGGCAACACTGTACAGGCGCTACCAGTGTTGGGTCAATTTGATTGTGGAAAAGGTGGTTAGAACCAGGGCACTTTCAGGAAGGATGTGATATGCAGGGAGAGCCAGCGCTGCTCTGGTAGAAAGTGGCATGGAACAACAATGTACAGGAGCTTCTAGAGTTGGTTCAATAGGATTGCAGGAAGGGTGGCTGGAACCAGGGCACTTGCAGGAAGGATGCAATGTGGAGGGAGAGCCAGCGCTGCTCCGCAATGAAGCGAGAGAACCACTGTCCTGGTGCGCAGCCGGTAGTGCTAAAATTCAAGTCAATAGGATTGCACAAAGGGTGGCTGGAACCAGGGTACTTGCAGAAAGGATGCGATGTGCAGGGAGAGCCAGCGCTGCTCCGCTAGCGACAAGCGAGCGCCGAAGGAGAGCGTCTCGCCGCCCGCCATGGTGAGCTGGCAGAACGTGGTTGGTGGAGAGTGGTGGTGGTGGTAGTGGTACTGGCCGTACTCCCATGAGTCGTGCTGATGGTGCTGCAGGTGCAGTGTTGGGTGGAAGAAATGGGGAATTTTCAGGCGAATGAAAACTTCTGAAGCAAGAATGGTGGTGGTGGTGGTGGTGGAGGTGGTGGTGGTGGTGGTGGTGGTGGTGGTGGTGGTGGTGGTGGTGGTGGTGGTGGTGGTGGTGGTGGTGGTGGTGGTGGTGGTGGTGGTGGTGGTGGTGGTGGTGGTGGTGGTGGTGGTGGTGGTGGTGGTGGTGGTGGTGGTGGTGGTGGTGGTGGTGGTTTTTTTGGCAATGCAAGATACACTATAGCAGCGCATACAAGCATGAACAGTCGTAACTGTAGCCGATGGGCCTAGACAGCAACCAGCCATCATACCCATCCTGATACTCTACGGGGGACGGAAGATCGTGCGCGGGTGTGGGTGGTGGTGGTGGTGCTAGTGCATGTTTTCACAAAATAAATGTTTTCCACTCTATGGTAGCAGCAACAGGTGCGGTGCATGGTGCTAGCAAGAGAGCCACGGAGAGCCACGGAGAGCCACGGAGTATAAGTACAAGATAAGGGCCTGCATGGTGTAGTTTGTTTCCTTGAGTGCATAAACAGTAAAGGGGTCATACCACTGTGAAGTTGACTCCAACGCCGCTGATGCGATCAGTGCTTGCCTTGAACAGGCCACAGCAAGGCAGAGTATGTCATTTGATAAAGTAAAGAGATCATACCACGGAGAGAAGGTACAAGATAAAGACCTGCATGGTGTAGTTGACTAACGCGCCGTGGATGAGAGCAGTGTGCATGGTGGACAGGCCAAAGAACGGCAAAGTCTGTTCCAAAGGCAAATAGGATAAGCAAGGGAGAATGTACCTGCATGGTGTAGTTGACTCCCGCGCCGTGTATAAGAGCAGTGTGGGCGGTGGACAGGCCAAAAAACGGAAGATTCTGCCCTTTCACCGTTCGATGAATCGTTAGCTGACACGTGGCAGGGTCCACAGTCACTGTTTCGTCCATAATGTGCCGCAGTAGCACGTGGGCCAGCAGGCTGGCGGGGGACGAGGAGGGAAGGGGAGGTGGGGACGAGGTGGTGGGGGGAGGAGAGGGAGACGCGTGATGAGACTATGACAGTCACTGTTTCGTCCATGATGTGCCGCAGTAGCACGTGGGCAGGCAGGCTGGCGGGGGGGAGGAAGGGGGTGTGGGGAAGGGGAAGGGGAGGAGGACGTGTGATGATCGGTTGTTACGAAGTCACTGTTTCGTCCATAATGTGCCGCAGTAGCAAGTGGGCAGGCAGGCTGGCGGGGGGGAGGAAGGGGGTGTGGGGAAGGGGAAGGGGAGGAGGACGTGTGATGATCGGTTGTCACGAAGTCCTTGTTTCGTCAATGATGTGCCGCAGTAGCAAGTGGGCAGGCAGGCTAGCGCGGATGGGGAAGGGGAAGAAGAGGTGGGGGGAGGTGGCAGTCGTCATAAGTCGTGTGCGAGTCGGAACTTGTGACATTGCCATGCCACAATCAGGACAAGAACCACCTCGCCCATGATGTGGCAAGATATCGAGTGCGCCAAAAGGCTGGAAAGTCTGGTGTTAGCCAATGAAAAACCATCTTACGCGTTGTGGGAAGGGTGGTTATGGGGAAAATGACAGCGTATTGGAAGCGAGGAGGGGGAGGAGGAGCATCAGCCGCAGCCGCTACAGAAGTAAAAATGTTCACACATGGACAGTGGCGCAAACAATGTTCAAGTTTTTTAAACAGACCCAGAACCGGATGGCGGTGACTGAATGACCTCGCCCAGCAGTACCGCCATCCGATTTCGGCTTCGTCTAAAAACTTGATAATTGTTTGTGCCACTGTCCATGTGCGAACGTTTTGACTGCTGTTGCGGCTGCTCCTCCTCCTCCCCCCCCTCCTCATTTCCAATACGCTGTCGTTTCCCACTCCGCGCCCAGACAGGGGTATGGGCAGGGGCAGGCTCCACCTCCTCCTCCTCACCCTTCCTCCTCCGTTGCTGCTGCTAGCGAGAGTCTCTAAGACATAGCCAGTTTGCACTTAATCTCACTCACCCAATGCCCACCGCCCAGAAGGGAATGGAGAAGAGGATGAAGAAGACCGGAGCTCCAGACGATGCCGCTGTGGCTGTCCAGAAGGCGACAAAGGCCGTCCAGAACTGAGATGGCAGGGAGGGATGGTGTGTGGCAGGGAGATTGGGAGGGAGGGGAACAGAATTATTGAATAAAAAGAAGGAAGGGAGGGATTGGGGCGGCATTTGCTGCTGCTGTGGATGGCCAAAAGGCAACAAAGGCCGTCCGGAACTGAGATTGCACGGGTGTGAGGTTGGAGTTGGGAAGGCGGGTGAAAAAATAGGGCCAGGTGGATGAAGAGGTGGAGGGGGAGGAAAGAGGAGGGATGGCGGAAGAAGGAGATATGGAGGTTTGAGATGAAGGGAAGGAGATATGGAGGTTCGAGATGAAGGGAAGGAGATATGGAGGTTCGAGATGAAGGGAAGGAGATATGGAGGTTCGAGATGAAGGGAAGGAGATATGGAGGTTCGAGATGAAGGGAAACAACAGGGGAATACGAAACAAGATCAGCAAAACAAAGCACAATGATAGCTCTATGTTGAGGAAAGGACTTGAAAGGTGTCGAGTGGTGACCTCTAACTTGACTCAAATACTGCTATAGCGAGAGGAGCCCTTGACAGGGTCTAGCTCACCAGGGCGAAGACGATTTCAGGAAGCGCTTTGAGGGAGAAGTGCTGGGGAGGGATGGTGAAGTTTAGGAGCGTGGGCGAGCGGGAGAAGAGTACTCGCGTGCCCATGGGCTGAGCCAGGCCAGGATACGACACTGGCGTCCCCATTGCTGCTCCCCCTGCTGCTCCCCCTGCTGCCACCCCTGCTGCTGCTGCTGCCGCAACTGCAGCGTCAACTTCAGAGCCAATAAGCGGGGTGGGGGAGTGAGGGGAGTAGGGCTGCGGGGGAAACGGCGCGCTGGCCGGCAGAGGAACGCCGATTTGGTGCGAGGGAGAGAGGAGGGAGGTGAATGGGAGGGAGAGGGAGAACGGGAGGAATGAAGGTGCGGGGGGCGGCATTTGGAAGAACGGCGCAGAGGGGGAGAGAGGCGGGGGGAAGGGGAAAGGCGGAGGGGGAGCAGCAGCGGCACCATTGGGACCAGCAGCAGCAGCAGCAGCAGCAGCAGCAGCAGCAGCAGTAGAAGGATTGGGCATGGGGAACGGAGGGTAGGAGGAGGAAGCGGAGGTGGTTGAGGGGCCGAGCAGAAGAGCGTGATCCGAGCTTTGGCCCTGGCCGCTCATTGGCTGCTCCTCGTTGAAACCCTAGCGGATAGAGAGACCAGGGGAGGTTTGGAGAACAGCGGTGAGGAGAAAGGGGAGGGAGGAAGAAACGGGAACGAAACAATGCTTCCAACAGAGCGGATTGAGCGAATTGGAAACGATAACGAAAAGATCAAGAGCGAAGAGAGGCCTCGTATACAATAAATATACAAATGAATCTTGTGCAACAAATGAAGTCTGGACGATCTTGTTTTATCTCTCATAGACAAAAATAATTTCTGGAATGACCAACTTGTAGCACGCTCACCATGGTGACTCTCCCGCGGTTGAAGCCACTCGACCTTCCGCTACTCGACTGCTCGGGAATCAGGGAGTCACAAGGGGTGTTCCCGCAATGCTCGGAATCACTAATCGAGCGACGTTGGCGAAGGTGGCTACTGTGGTTCGGCGACAACTTCTTGTGCATTAATCAAGGCTCGCCGCGTCTGTTTCGCTCTCAAACCGCATCACGGGCCGTTACCACTCATCCGCGTCAGCGAAGGAATATCGCAAAGTCCCGCAGGTCCAAACGATTGGGCCTTGCGACGATTTCGCTGCCTTCCAGCACTATAAACTGCGAAGGAAAGCCACTACGCCAAGGAGGTTACTCGACTGGCATCGAGACGCCTCAGAATGCAGCTCGTTGCCACGAGGCGAGCTTGCGTTGCGACTGGTGACTCGAATTCGCACAGGCGAACATCCCTCAACTCAATTCGCTAAGGACGGCAAACACCACCATTGGGATTGCCAAGGAGGTAGAGGGAAGCAGCTGCTGTTTTGTCCGCGCTGTAAAGAGTAGCACGATCGATTTTTAAGGCAAAAATATATCATTGCAAACACCAAGTGTGTGTACAGTATTTTGGGAAGTTTGAGCGGTGCAAAGCGGTCTATGTTACCTCCATATTCCTGCTGGTTTGGTTTGATTGCAACTTTTGTGCGGTGCAATACGGTCAGAGAATTATGTAAATGATTTGGCCAGCGGAATTGTACGCGATAGAACTCTTCCGCAGCTTGCGCAAGGACCTACCCACTCGATACGGGCACTCCTGTGCAAACGATCCACTAGGTCGCATTTTAGCTGGTCCGACCGAGCCCTTAGATTCACGTCTAGGTTACGCCATTGTCAAAACCTGTGTGTGGCGTGGCCGTCATGTCGACCCTGATTGCTACCGAACCTCTGCACCTGTCGGCCAATCAAGTCACCCCAACCGATCCGCAATGTAGATTTGGAGCGATCGAAGAGATACCTAGTCGTGTTGAGGGGGGAATGCATGAAGCAGAACGAGCGGAAGGAGCGGCAGGAGCGGACGGAATCGATGGAAGGGAAGCAGCCGAAGGGGAGGAAGGAGCCAATGTGGGGGAAAATCGAGGAGGAGAAGAAGCTTCGATGGCAGAGGTGACAGAAGAGGGAAAACGAGGCGAAGGGGAGAGGGTGGAAGGAGCAAGAGAGGGGACGGATGCAGCAACAGGGGGGTCGGTGTTGGGTGAGGTAGAAAACGCGGAGGGGATGGAGGGAGCGGGAGAGACGCCTGCAGTTGCGGATTGGCCGCTGCTTCGGTTCTCGCAGCCCGCTCCCGCCTGTCGCGCGCTGATCTGGCAGTGCTTCCGCGCTGACGCGGACGCTGACGTGGCAGCCGACGCGGCAGCTGACGTTGCAAGCGGAAGAAGCGGAGGGCGGGGATGCGTGGAGGGTAGTGCGGCGGGCAGGAAGCGGAAGGCTGGGTGCGAACGCGTGGTGCGGAGCCGGCGACAAGTGGACCCTTCTGGGAACTTTCTCAAGGGCGTGAAGTGGTGAGGTGTTTCTGGTTGTAAGCCTTGCCTTCCCAAGCCCAGGTCGCCTCTTCGAACCTGGTTCTTGCCACACTCCCAACGAGCTCTGGTCTGTGACAAGAACTGCTTCACATCAAGTGTTAAAAGCCATTGCTGCTCGCCCTTTCAAAATGCATCTGGTAGCCTGCCATCCCATCCCACCTGGCGTTTGTTGCTTCTCCTGCTGTGTGGCATGCCATGGCAGGTCGCCAGATGGCACGTGTCTATTGGCTTCCAGCGAGGATTGCTGCCTGCGCCTCTTTGACCTGTACGTGACATGCCATGCCATCCCAATGCCACCTCATGCCGGACCATGCCATGCCATGCCGTACCATGCCATGCCATGCCATGCCATTCCAAGCCATCCATGCCAATGCCACACCATGACATGCCGTCCTGTGCTCTTGTGTACCCGCACATATCTGTTATCTTATCCGATGTACCGGCTGTATGGACCAATGCCAAAGAACCAAGTTGGAGCATGGAGCTGAGCCGAGGCAATAGTCAGCAGACCAGTGGATTTGACCCACCCTGTCATGCTGTACCTCTCAGGCGTCTGCCCTCTTCCTCTCTCCATTCATTCGTTTAATTCAATCCTCTGGTGAAATATCTGGTTTGTTTCTCTCTGCTTCCTTCCTGCTCACCGCTCCTTCAGCCCTGCTGACATCATGCTGGCGTCATCTGCCCCATTTGACATGAAAAATGAGGCCACACTCCCCAACCGAGGTATCCTCGATATTCGTGCTTTGCATGCACTCCATTCCTTCGCATTCAATGCAACGCACTGCTCATGCTGACGTCATTATGGCACGATTCTTACCAAACTGTCCCTCCCCCCTCCTCCCTTTCTTCCCCATCCCCCTCCCCACGGGCTGCCCCCGTCTCCTTCCCCCATTCTCTCTCCACGTCTCTTCCCCTCTTCTACCCGCCCTCGCTCCTCCCCCCTTTCTCGTACCTGTCAGATTCGCTGGCACCAGCAGTGATGGTCAGGGAGGGGGAGACCATCTATGACTTCGCATGGTTCCCTGCCATGTCAGCAGCTGGTATGCCATGTCAGCAGCTGGTATGCCATGTCAGCAGCTGATATGCCATGTCAGCGCTTGTATGCTGTGTGATCAATGATTCGATTACCGGCAAACGAAAGGGAGAATATCCATACTATGTGTTTGCCCCGTGTCTGCTTAATCCTCTCCCCTCTGCTCTTGCCCACATAGCGACATCTTTGTCTCACACACACCGGATCATTCCCCGGCCCACACCGCCCCATTTTGTCGCGTAGCGACTCACCACGCAATTCTCATGTCATGTATGCACTGCGCTGCACCATGCACCATCCCACACACACACCATCTCATCTCCCAAGCGATCACACATACCCAGTGTCGTGTGTGTGCGCCAACACTGCCACGTCATCACTTGCAGACCCGGTGTCATGTGTGTTTGCATCAACATCAAGGGACCATCCGGTGCACCTGTGGGATGCCATGACCGGCCAGGTGTGCTCTCACCTGAGGTGATTGGCCAGGTGTGCTCTCACCTGAGGTGATTGGCCAGGTGTGCTCTCAGGTGGTTGGCTAGGTGCGTTCTCAGGTGGTGACCTGCTGTGCTCTCAGGTGGTCCGCCAGGGCTGTTCAGGTGTTAGACCAGGTGTTAGACCAGGTGTTAGACCAGGTGTTAGACCAGGTGTCAGACCAGGTGGTACGCCAGGTGATGGACGAGACGAGATATTGCTACTGCCCGCTCTACAGCTTCCATTTCCTTCTCCAATCATGCCCCACTCCCATGTCTCATCCAGCTGCGCTGCGCTGCACGTACCACGCACATGACCACACCACATGGACAGACGAGATCGCCATGCATGTGTGCGTATTGTATTGCTACTACGCTGAATGTACCGAAATGCACTCCTCCCCACCCTCCCGCACCATGCCACACCAGCTGCGCTGCACGTACCGAGCATACGACCACCTGGATGAGATTGCTGCTGCCCTCTCCCTCACCTTCTCTTCTCAAGGAGACAAGTGAGTGGTGAGTGAGGGAGTGAGTGAGGGAGTGAGTGAGGGTGCGCATGAGGGTGTGAGTGGGGGAGAGCGATGGAATGGATAGAATGAGTGTGGGAGTGAGTAAACGAGTGATTTGTGTAGGAAGATCAAGTGAGTTGAGTGGGTGAGTGAATGAGTGAGTGAGGGATTGAGTGTAGGAGGCTGTTTTGCTGTCATTGCGTTGAGGGAGAAAGGATCAAGCAAGTGATTGAGGCAAGTGAGCTTCCCTTTCACGTCCTCCTCCTTTGTTTCTTTCTCTTCTGCCTTCGTTTCCTCCTCTCCTCCTCTCTGCCTTCCGACCTCCCATATCACCACTTGATAGCTGCCCCACTCCCTGCTCTTCCTGCCCCACTCCCTGCTCTTCCTGCCCCACTCCCTGCTCTTCCTGCCCCACTCCCTGCTCTTCCTGCCCCACTCCCTGCTCTTCCTGCCCCACTCCCTGCTCTTCCTGCCCCACTCCCTGCTCTTCCTGCCCCACTCCCTGCTCTTCCTGCCCCACTCCCTGCTCTTCCTGCCCCACTCCCTGCTCTTCCTGCCCCACTCCCTGCTCTTCCTGCCCCACTCCCTGCTCTTCCTGCCCCACTCCCTGCTCTTCCTGCCCCACTCCCTGCTCTTCCTGCCCCACTCCCTGCTCTTCCTGCCCCACTCCCTGCTCTTCCTGCCCCACTCCCTGCTCTTCCTGCCCCACTCCCTGCTCTTCCTGCCCCACTCCCTGCTCTTCCTGCCCCACTCCCTGCTCTTCCTGCCCCACTCCCTGCTCGTCCTGCGCCACTCCCTGCTCGTCCTGCGCCACTCCCTGCTCGTCCTGCGCCACTCGCTGCGCGTCCTGCCGTGTCCCTGACCTGCCGTGTCCCTGACCTGCCGTGTCCCTGACCTGCCGTGTCCCTGACCTGCCGTGTCCCTGACCTGCCGTGTCCCTGACCTGCCGTGTCCCTGACCTGCCGTGTCCCTGACCTGCCGTGTCCCTGACCCGCGCCACCATGCCTTTCCTCCTCTCCCCTCGCCTCCCCTCCCCGTTCCCCCTCAGGCTCATCCTGGGCTTCCCACGCTGTCTCAGAGTGTTTGACACGAGCATACCAGGGCGGGACTGCCAGCAGCACAGCACGGGCGCCAAGGGACGCGGCCAGACAGGTACGGGTGGGGGTGCACAGGTAGGGGCGGAGGCAGAGGGGTAGGGGTTGGGGTAGGCGGACGGGTAGGTGCCCCATACCGGGACGGGATTGCCAGCAGCACAGCACGTTCGCCAAGGGACGCGGCCAGACAGGTATGACTTGGCCCCGGGGTATTCGGGCCTCTAGATATGGCCGGGGAGGGATGGATGGTGCCTGTGGGAGGAGTAAGGGCGAGAGTTGTACCTGAGGGCGAGAGTTTTACCTGAGGGCGAGAGTTTTACCTGAGGGCGAGAGTTGGACCAGAGGGCGAGAGTTTTACCTGAGGGTACCGGGATGCGACTGTTAGCAGGGACAGCACGGGCGCCAAGGGGCGCGGGAAGACAGGTGGGGAAGGGGATAGGGGACAATAGGTAGGGGGGCAGGTGAAGTGCCTCTGGGATAAGTTGCGGTTTGGAGTGGTTGAGAGCGTTCTGGGGTGCGACTGCCAGCAGCACAGCACAGGAGCCAAGGGGCGTGGCCAGACGGGTATGGCTGGGGGTGCATGTGGAGGGGTGGATGCAGATGGGTAGGCGTAGGGGGACGGGACGGGAGGCGCCCCATTGCAGGGCCCAATTGCCAGCAGCACAGCATGGGCGTCAAGGGATGCGGGAAGAGAGGTGGGGAAGGGGATTGGGCCGCCTAAGTATGTGTGGGGGATGGATGGTGACGTGCTTCTGGGAGTAGCTGCGATGTGAGTGGCCGTGACGAGGTTACTTTGACAGAACTGTCAGCAGCACCGCACAGCACCGCGCAGCACAGCACAGCACAGCGTAGCACAGCACAGCACAGCACACCCCATCTCACCACTCCCGACCCCTCATCACCCTCCATCCCCATCCCGGGCGTTCTAGCCATGGGCTCGTATGACGGCACTGTGGGGCTGTACGGTGACCCAATTTCTCATTGCCTCCTCTCAACCCTCAACCTTCCCAACAGTAATCGCCCCCATCCCCTCGCAGGTCTGTTGTCCTGCCTAGCCACCAACCCGTACATGCTGGGCCTGCTAGCCGTGGGCTCATATGATGGCACGGTGGGGCTGTTATTCCATTCCCTATCCTTCCAACCTTCAACCCCCACCCCTCATTCCCCTCGCAGGTCTGCTGTCCTGTCTGGCCACCAACCCGTTCATGCCAGGCCTTCTGGCCATGGGGTCGTACGATGGCAGTGTGGGGCTGTACGGGGATCTGGGCAGGGAGGCCATGGCAGTGATGCACGGGCACACAGGAGGGGTCACTCAGGTGGGTGGGAGTGTAGGGTTGGGTGTGTGTGCTGCTTCAATGTCAGTTGTTGTCCCGTGCACACTCCTCCCCTCTTCCCCCTCCCCCCCATCCAACCCCCCCTTTTTCTGCACCCCCCTCCTCTGCACGCATCACGCCATGCCAGGTGCTCCTTTTCTCGGGATGGCAACATCTGAGCCACGTCCAAACCTGATTTCCTTCTGCACCTCTCTCTCTCCCTCTGCACACACCACGCCATGGCAGGTGCTCTTTTCTCGGGATGGCAACTTCCTCTACTCGGGTGCGCGCAAGGTCAGCCCCTCGTTGCATATTGTTTGTTGGCACGCCTGCACGCCTGCATGTCTGCACGCCTGCACGCCTGCTTGTCTGCACGCTTGCCTGCATGTCTGCATGCCTGCATGTCTGCACGCCTGCATGTCTGCACGCTTGCCTGCATGTCTGCACGCTTGCCTGCATGTCTGCACACTTGCCTGCATGCATCCAGCATGCAGCTGATAGGTTCGCTGTCATTCTCTGCATTCACGTGCCTCCTCAGCATCTTCCCGACTGCCTCCATCTCTTCCTGTCAACTTACATTCCTTTCTGTAGGATCCAGCCATTCACTGCTGGGACGTGCGGAACACATCAGGCGTTGTCTACAGGTGTGTCATTGCGTTTCATGCAGGAAATGTTCCATGCATGCCCATGATTATCGGCACTGCTGCAGGGGAATCGCAACACATGCGGCACGCTTTTGAGCACCTCAGAAGGCGCTTCGAAAGGCGTCTGTCTACCTGCAGTTTAGGAGAATGGCATTCAAAAGCGTACCCCATGTGCACATGCTATGTGCTCTCTGCGGCCCCTAAAAAGCTACATCCAGCCATGTCATCCCATGCCATGCCATGCCATGCCATCGCATCCCACCCCATCCCATCCCTTGCCATCCCATCCCATCCCATCCCATCCCATCCCATCCCATCCCATCCCATCCCATCCCATCCCATCCCATCCCACTCCACCCCATGTCACCCCATGGCCGCATGCCTCAGTGTGTTTCGTCCACCAACCAGCGCATGTCCGAGCCATTCATGCCATGCCATCAAATGTCACCCCTTGTCATCCCGGTTCATCCCTTGTCACCCCTTGTCATCCCGTATCACTCCATGGCACCCATGGCAGTATGCAGCGGTGTGTGACATCCACCAATCAGCGCATTGCATTTGACATTGACCCCTCCAACCGCCATCTCGCCACCGGGGGAGAGGTATGGGATGGGTTAGAGCGCTTGGGCATGGGTGCATGCGTGCATGGATGCACGGGTGCATGGGTGCAGGGGTGCATGGATGCATGGGTGCGTGCATGGGTGCATGGGTGGATGGGTGTATGGGTGCAGAGGTGCAGGGGTGCATGGGTGAGTGGCGGCATGAGTGCATGGGTGTGACAGCATCAAGGGCATAAATCGCCACTGATGTGCCACATCTTGCCGTGTTATATTGCGTTCCTCACCACCCTCCACTATCATGATCCACGTCACCCATCAGCCTCAACCCCTCTCTTGGCACCACCGCCTCTTCTCCACCTCTCTCACGCTCGCACCCTCCACCTCTCAATTGCAGGACGGTCAGGTGTGGGTGTACGATCTCGCTTCAGGCTCCAAAATCGCAGCCTTTCAAGCCGCTCAAGGTGATGTTGATGTGTGGTGCAGTGCGGTCCAGAGCACTGCAATGCAGTTCACCAGGGTTGAAGCACCCTTGAAGCTCCCCACAGGACAGTCAAGTGTGGGTGTTGGACCTTGTTTTTGGCTCCAAGATAGCAGCCTCCCAAACCGCTCATGGTGACGTTCATGTGCAGTGCATTGCGGTGCAATGTGGTGCTCTAAGATGCGTGCAAAGCCACCTCCCCATATACCATCCACCCCAGCCTGCCTGTCTTTAAACCAACACAAAGCTCTTCACTTGTTCTCCTCAAACACATTCCCCCCCCCTCCTCCCCTCCCCCGTCTCCCTCTCCTCATCTTCCAAACCCCCCTCCCCAGATACCATCAATGGATTCGCCTTCCACCCCTGCCTGCCGCTAGCTGCCACGTCATCAGGCCACCGCAGGTTCCACCTGCCGCCGCCCCTCACTCCTGCCAGCCCACCTGAAGCAGACAACTGCTCACCTGAAGCACCCGCCATTGCACCTGAAGAGGGGCACGTTTCCCCTGAGTGTGCACTGGCATCACATCACAAGACATCAGATCGGCTCCACAGTGAGTGCTTGCTCGCGACTCAATCCTTACATGGTCTTTAATCTCAAGTGTCTTTAGGTCTTAAGTGCTTAATTTGCAAGTGTCATTACCAAACTGCTGGTATCTGCAAGTGTCATTACCAAACTGCTGGTATCTGCAAGTGTCATTACCAAACTGCTGGTATCTGCAAGTGTCATAACCAAACTGCTGGTATCTGCAACTGTCATTACCAAACTGCTGGTATCTGCAAGTGTCATTACCAAACTGCTGGTATCTGCAAGTGTCATTACCAAACTGCTGGTATCTGCAAGTGTCATTACCAAACTGCTGGTATCTGCAAGCTCTGCCCATAGGCTCCTTCCCTTACCACAAAGCCTTACAAGCTAATTTCAGAATAATCAAGGACCAACTTTGGCTGTCGCTTTCATTTTCCTGGACGCCTCGGGACCTGTGAGTCCTCCGCAGTGATTCGCTCCCAACATCCACCTTTCCATCTCTTGGTACCAACATTCTTCTGCCCTTCCCCTGGCAGGGTTCAATAACTGTGTCGCCATGTGGCAGTTCCAATGCATGTGGGGGTGAAGGATAGCCCGGTTGACGTACCCTACACCTCGCTTGGCAGCACAATACGTCCGCATGTGCACTTGGTCATGAATGTAACAGCATTGAGAAAATTGTTGTTGACGCTGTTATGTTGTTGCAACATACCCAACCCAAGAAGATATCTTGGCGTTTCAGGTGTTTCCACGTACGGTACCTTCATATACTGTGAGAACGAATTTCTTTCTTACGAACAAACATCACGTGGATTAGTGATTGTCAAATAGGGCAACATGCAAGCAAATCAATATCGCAAGCACGGTCTACATATTCCTCATTGAAACCGCGAAGATGGTACAGTACATCTCACGAGGGCCACAAACCTTAAGTGGATAAACCAACTGACAGTTACATCACATCACATCACACCACCCAAAACCTACGTAGTACCACGTCACCTTCCACGTTTGAATAGCCTCCCTCCTCTATGGCTATGGCTAAACCTCATCAGGCCATTCACCCGGCCACTTCACCATGCCACCAGCACATTACTACCACCCGCTCCAATCCAAGCCTGTAGTATCACTGGCGTAGAAGCACCACCCAGCCTCAGCCCCAACAAGCTGATCGGCCACAAACATGCCATCAGCACATTACCACCCGCTCCAGGCATGGAGCACCACAAGCACCCAGTCTCAATGCCATGCCATGAGGCCAGTTCCCTACCTACGGTACCTTGCACAACATTCCGTCAACCTCAACTGGTAGCTAAGCTACCTGGGGTCATCTTTCTGCACTGATTCATCATTCTCCTCTGCGTCCCCTTCCATGTGTCCCCTTCATAAGGCCATACACGTGGGCAGTGCGGGAGGCCACAACAAGCACGTTGACCACAGCGCCCAGCAGGCAGCACTACTGGTGCAGTAGCACCCAGCCAGCCCAAGACCCAATAGACTAGTGCCCTACCTAGCATTCATCCAACGAATAGATGCCTTCTAGCAATCCCCGAGCATGCAGGTGCCTCCTACCTAGCATCATCTTCTTCCTCTGCTTCATCTGTCTCCTCTTCTCCTCCCACCTCGCTGTGTCTCATAAGGCCATACACCCGGGCAGTGCGGGAGGCCACATGCACGTTCACGGCAGCGCCCAGTACACACACGGCCGCCAGGACGAGGAATACGAGGCAGTAACCTACTTCTCATCATCTTTCCCCACTGCTTCATCAGTTTCATCTGCTCCCGCTGCCTCAGTGTGTCTCATAAGGCCATACACACGGGCAGTGCGGGAAGCAACAAGCAGATTCACAGCAGCGCCCAGTACACACACGGCAGTGAGGATGAGGAAGATGAGACGGAAGCAGTGCGCCCCATGACACGCCTTGGGCCCCTCCCCTCCTCCACCCCCCGCTGCACTGCCCACAGCATCACTAAACCAGCCACCCATTCCCTGCCCAAACCAGCTCGTTCCCAACCACCCCTGCCCCATATGCTCTGCCCCTGCTGTTGCCGCTGTTGTTGCTACTGCAGCTGTGGGTGTTGCAGAGGGCAGCATCAAACCGAGCATCTTTCTAACGCCTGTGAAATCAGCAGAGGCACCGGCCACGTGCCCAACTCTTACTACTGGCTTTAAGGCCCACTCTTGCCTGGGTGCTAGCAGCGATGCTGCTCCCTCTAGACCTGCTGTGACTCCCCTGTCTTTCCGTGCCTCTATCTCGTAGAGGTACCCCGCCAGCACACCTGGGAGAAGGGGCGAGGCAGACAGACAGGCAGCGGACAGGTGACACAGGACAGGCATATCAAGACGCAGGGAGGCAGAGAGGCAGAAAGGCAGACAGAACAGTCACATGGACTGAACGAAGTGACAGACGAACAGATGAGGCCGTCTCACCCCACCCCACTTCAAGCACTAGAGGTAGGCCAAATGCATGGGCAGCTCAACAACACGGCAAGGACTATTTTTTAGGCGCCTCCAAAGCAGACAAAGCTGTTCCGCCCCTATGCACTAGAGGTAGGCCAAGCGCAAGGGCAGCTTCAGAGGCGCCTCAGATGCACCCCAGCCCACGCGATGCACCCCAGCCCACGCGATGCACTAGAGGTAGATCAAGCGCAAGAGCAGCTCAACATCGCGGCAATATTTGAGTCGACTCAAAAGTCAGCAACACGGCAAGGACGGAACAGAGAGGGTGCTCCTTCCAGTTCAGGGAGCGCGGACCTAGCAGGAGTGGCTGCCAGCTGTGAGTTGCAGAGGCGGCTGAGGCAAAGTAGGGCGCACCTGAGAAGAGGTAGGAGCCGAGGGGAGCAGCGGCGAGCAGGGAGTTGTAAAGCAGGCCGAGGCAGCGACGGCCGAAGAGCTCTGCTGCGATGACAGGCATGACGGAGCACAGCCCGCCATACGTGAAGCCTATGAGGAGAGAGCCCAGGTACACGCCTCCTGGTGGGGCCAGGGCGAAGGCCAGATGCCCCACTGCCATGAGCAGCTGGATGGCTGCTAGAGCCATGGGGCGTGGCATGCCATGTGCCCTGTAATGTGCGCAAGGGAGGGGGAAGGCTGGAAGGAGTGAGCAACGGGAGGCAAAGGCCTGATGCTACACGGCCATGAGCAGCTGGATGGCTGCCAGGGCTATGGGGCGTGGCATGCCATGGGCTCTGTGATGGGAAGGGAAGGAGGATGAGGGAAGGAGGGGGCCCTTGAGTAAGGTATGAGGGTAGGGAGACAAGGACGAGATGCAAATTGTGGGGTTCTTGGGGCAGTGGCAGAAAGGTCACTCCCTCATTCCCCCTCCACCTTTCCCCTCATCCCACCACACCGCCCATTCCCCCATCAAACCCCTCATAAAACCGCTTTTGAGTCGACTCAAGAATAAAACCCCACAAACCTACCTGACGAAGTGCTCCGACAGCGATCCACTGGCCAGGCGGCCAAGGAACTGCCAGATGCTGACGAGCGAAGTGAGCACCTGTGCATTGCCGTACCCCTGCGCCTCGCCTATCTGTGCCAGGTTCGTGATGGCCGTCAGCCCCGCACCAAAGCCACACACCAGGCCCCCGTACAGCAGCCAGAACTCCACCGTGGATAGCGCCTGCCCGAACGAATGGTCCTCCCCCAGATACACCTCCCCCCTTGCTGCTGTTGTTCCCCCTGGATGGGCTTGCTCGGTTGCTTCGTCTCCTGCCCCATCGCCTTCCTCCTCCTCCTCCTCCCCCTCCTCCCCATCCTCCTCCTCTTCCTCCTCCCTGCACTCATCCTCCTCCCCATCATCTCCGCCCCTGCTGTATCCCCCTTTAGGAGAGGTGATTCCAGTCACCCTCGAGAGATTCTTACCATGAACAGACGTCTCTTCCTCGCCAAAGTAGTAACTCCAATCGTCCTCCCCGCCCTCCCCCTCCCCCCCACCCACACTCGCCGCCCCTGCCACGTCACCATCCTCAGTCAGGCTGCTGAGGCTCTTCTGGCTGCCACGTGGCGGTATCCAATCGGTCCTAGGGCCGTAATCAGGACTCGAGCTGCTTCCTCCTGTCTCTCCTCCTCCTTCTCCTCCTCCTCCTCGTTTCCTTACCACCTGCCTTCCCTGCCTCCCCCCCTCTCCCTCCTCTCCCTCTTTTCCCTCTATCCCTTCCTCTCCTGTCTCTTGCTCCCCCGCTTGCCTTCCCTTCAATCCACTAGCACTACGCAGGCTACTACTGCTGGATATACTCTGCGTCCTTCTGCCACCAACGGGACTGCTTATATCGAGTATACTGGACTTGGGCTGGCTCCCCGTACCTTCGCTTCGGTTGGTTCGGGAGTCAGCAGACGTGCCCAGGAGTAGGTGCATGAGGGTCGCCGAGCCTACGCTGCTATGGGTGCCGAAGCTGCTGGCATGGGCAGCTGCGGTGATGCTGCTGCTGAGGCCTAGCTTCGGCGCATCACCAGACCTATTAGGGCTTACGAACGAAATGGCTCCCGCACCCCTCAATCCTCTTCCTCCTGTTCCCCCTGCTGGAGATGATGAAATGTTCTGAGCAGAAGAGCAGGTGCGTCCGCTGGAAGGGGGTGGCGGGCTGTTATAAGGGGAGGTGCGTTCAGGGTAGGTGGGTTTGGGGGAGGTTCTGCTGTGGCTGAGAGGGGAGAAGGCGGACTGGTGGGGTGAGAGAGAAAATGCTGGTGGGTGAGTGGGTGGAGGGGAGGATGGGGGGAGGGCACTGGCGGCATGGAGAGTTTCCCCTTCTCTGATTGGTGGAAGCACGCTTGCCCGGGGACTGGTGCCACCAGGAGTGCCTGTTGCTGCTGACGTGGCTGGCGACGATTGGAGCAAAGGCTGGGAGAGATCGGAAGAGCCCTGGGCGTGTGGGTGAGTCAGAGAGGAGGGAGAGGACGAGGGGGTGGCGGAGGAAGGAGAGGGGGAGCGGGACGGGAGGAGCACGGAAGCAGGGGCGAGGAGGAGGAGGAGCATGGTGATGGTAATGGCAGTGGTGGTGTGCGGTGAGAAGGTGGTGAAGGCCTGCGAGGTGATGACGAGGAGGAGGAAGGCGGCAAGCAGCATGCAGAGGCGCAGGATGAGAGAGAAGCCTGCGCTCTCCTCTGCTGCGACTTTGGGGGTACGGGGGGCTGGGGGGGATGAGGGGGCAGGGGACATATGAGGGGGCAGGGGGACATATGAGGGGGCAGGGGGACATATGAGGGGGCAGGGGGACATATGAGGGGGCAGGGGGACATATGAGGGGGCAGGGGGACATATGAGGGGGCAGGGGTACATATGAGGGGGCAGAGGGGCATACGGGTGGATAGGGGGACAGATGGGGGAACAGGGGGCATACCAGGGGGACAGGGGGGCATACCAGGGGACAGGGGGGCATACCAGGGGACAGGGGGGCATACCAGGGGACAGGGGGGCATACCAGGGGACAGGGGGGGCATACCAGGGGACAGGGGGGCATACCAGGGGACAGGGGGGGCATACCAGGGGACAGAGGGGCATACCAGGGGACAGGGGGGCATACCAGGGGACAGGGGGGCATACCAGGGGACAGGGGGGCATACCAGGGGACAGGGGGGCATACCAGGGGACAGGGGGGCATACCAGGGGACAGGGGGGCATACCAGGGGACAGGGGGGCATACCAGGGGACAGGGGGGCATACCAGGGGACAGGGGGGCATACCAGGGGACAGGGGGGCATACCAGGGGACAGGGGGGCATACCAGGGGACAGGGGGGCATACCAGGGGACAGGGGGGCATACCAGGGGACAGGGGGGCATACCAGGGGACAGGGGGGCATACCAGGGGACAGGGGGGCATACCAGGGGACAGGGGGGCATACCAGGGGACAGGGGGGCATACCAAGGGACAGGGGGGCATACCAGGGGACAGGGGGGCATACCAGGGGACAGGGGGGCATACCAGGGGACAGGGGGGCATACCAGGGGACAGGGGGGCATACCAGGGGACAGGGGGGCATACCAGGGGACAGGGGGGCATATGGGCGAGGATATACAATCAGCTTGAATGCCCCCCTGGCCCATTCGGGCTGATATGCAATGTTTTGAAGAAACAACCAAGGAGAGAAGAGGCGCTTTAAAGACTGCTCAATTTGCTTGAATGGCATTGGTGGAGGGAAAGGGTGGAGGAGGAGGACATACGGGGAGGGAAGAGGCGCACGATGAAGAGGCTGAGGATGCCCACAGCAGCGGGGCCAATGCACGCCAGCAGCAGAAACGCCGGAGGGTTGGGTGCGAGCAACGCAGAGTAGATCTGCGTGGGGGAGGGGAAAGGGGGGCAGAGGGAGGGAGGGACAGGGAGAGGGAGCCGTGGCATGTTGGGAAGGAAGGAAGGAGAAGGGGCACGGGACCAAAGGAATGAAGTTGGCTTGGGCAGGGGGGCCTCTTCTCCCCTCTTTTTCCCTGCCTACGTCCCCACAGCTCGCCCCTCCAACCTCTTACCCCTCCCGGCCCATAGTACCTGTGCAAAGATGGCGCCTCACAGGCCTATGAAGCCCACGAAATAGCCCACCATAATGCTAAACAGCACCCCCCTGAGTGCCGGAAGCTGAGGTCGCCAAGCCAACCAACCTCCCCAGCCTTCCCTCCTTGTGAACCCCCACATCTTCCGCCTTCCCTTCCCCCACAGCTCCTCCCTCCGAGCCCGTACCTCCCATCCCCCTGCCCCCCCAGCAGAACCTGTGCAAAGATGGCGCCTGAGAGGCCAATGAAGCCCACGACAATCCCCGCCACTACGCCCCCCGAGTGCGGGAAGTTGAGCTGTGAGGAGACGAGGCCGGCTGTGATGAAGTAGATGGACCCGTTGGTGGCGCAGCACAGCAGGCACCACACCTGCAGTGGCGAAGAGTGGTGGAGTGCGGCTGAGTGTGGGTTGACTGCGGTGCAGTGGGGTGGAGTGTGGTTGAGTGCAGTGCAGTTTGGACGCGAGGGGGAATGGGAAGTTGAGCTGCGAGGAGACGAGGCCTGCCGTGATGAAGTAGATGGACCCGTTGGTGGCGCAGCACAGCAGACACCACACCTGCAGGGCCGGGCAGTGTGGTGCGGTGCGGTGAAGTGAGGTCAATAGAGCCGTTGGTGGCACAGCACAGCAGACACCACACCTACAGGGTTGGAGTGCATTGCGCCTTAGTACAATCAAATATGGTCAAGAGATTTTCAGGAGCCTCGATTTTCAAGTCGAGCTGAGAGCTTTGAAAATGGCTTTCTGTGGTCCATTTGTGCGACTCTACGGTCACGCAGATGGCACTGGCGCCCTTAGTGCGAGTTTGCGTTGTTCATTGTAGTACGTCGTGCAGCACCCTGACATAACAGGTAAGAGAGTGATTCTCTGTTCAGCTCTTGGAGGGACGGAGGTGACAACCAGCATCAGGTGATGCACAGCACATGGAACAAGGCGGTGCAGGACGTCAAGCATTGCCGCGCTGTGTGCTGTGCAGCGATGATGAGAGGCATGGGATGGCACGATGAGGCATGGGATGGCACGATGAGGCATGGGATGGCACGATGAGGCATGGGGCATGAACATGAAATGAACAGAGCTCGAGCAAGGAGGGGTGGCCATGGGATGGATAGAATGCGGGAGAGCAGTGCGAGCTGGTGCTGGTGCTGGTGCTGGTGCTGGTGCTGGTGCTGGTGCTGGTGCTGGTGCACAGTGGGATACCATCGCACAGCTACCCTCGCACAGCAGAAGCAGATCCGGACACGGCTCAGTGAGCTGTGTGCGTGCAGTAGGCTTAAGCAAAGGAAAAAACAGCAGTAGATTTCCGCTCTGTGTACAACTAAGTGCTCAAAACGATCTCAGAACCCAAATTCTTAGCAGTAGAGTAAAACAGGGACAAACATGTTTCGGCCTATCACGGGGGAAAAACCCGATCAGACCTTCATCAGTGCCAACAATGAGAAAGAAAGGGCTAAGCAATGCCTCTAAAGAGAAGCAAGGCCTCTAAGAAAGCGAACTCTAGGCTATCCACACCCAGGTCACCCAAATGACGGGGACCAATCCAGACCACCCTCGAAAACTTCAGGCAGCCACGTCTTCAACTTCCTCGAAAGTGTCAGCGTGAAGGGTTGGGTTCAGATTTTCGCCAGGGGACAACTTCGGAAGTCGCGCGCGCACCAGTAACCGCTGCAGGTTACAACCAATTTTCCACGCAACAAACATTCTCTCCACATATAGCCCGCGTGTGATGAGTCGATTTTTAAGTCGACTTAAAAATTGACTCATCACAGTGGGATACCATCGCACAGCTACCCTCGCACAGCAGAAGCATCAGATAGTCGTGCAGTGGCATGTGACATTGATTAGCTCGCAATCCCCCACTGGGTTACTGACCTGCCAGAAGGGTGGCGCGGCTATCCGTTGACTGAGCACGAGCCACAGGCCGCCGTACCCCACGAAGCCCTGCCAGGCGAGGGGAGAGGGGGGCACACGAGGAAGAGGGGGATCACACAGGACAGACGGTCGCATGGGCAGAGAGGGGCACACGAGGCAGCGAGGGGCAGAGGCATCTGGATGCGCGCAGGTAGGTGCGGTGCGGTGGGGGAATAGAGGCTGATGTCCCGTGGACGGGGCCACACAGATGAGCAGGCAGGCACGGAGCACAGGTGAGGCGAGGCCTGCAGATCGTTGCCAGGGAGAGAGGCAGGGCGATGAGGCAGTGCCAGTGGCTGCCGATGCCACTGGCAATGGGAATGGCAATGGCAGTGGGGATGTTTACAACGGCCATGGCTACGGCTATGGCTGTAGATATGGGAGTGTCATAGGGAATGGTGATGACAATAACACTGATATGGCCATGGCAATGCGAATGTGAATGTGAACCCGAGTGGCAATGGCAATGCCGACATCATTGTCAGTGTCAGTGTGAATGTCAATATCAATGTCATAATCAGTCTCAATGGCAATGTGACATCAATGTCAGTGTCATTATCAGTGTCAGCGCCAATGCCCAGCAGACTCGTGAGCATCAAAAGAGTAGAGAACGGACCAGCAGTGTGCCGACGGCAATGACGAGCCATGGCGGCACCATGTCAGCGAGCAGCCCCGCCAGCAGCCCCATGTTGTCGCCCACGTCCTTGGCCACCCCCAGCGTTGTCACGGCCTGCTGGTTGTACCCCAGCACCTCCTGCACGCGTTGGAGAGAACAGGTAAAGGGAAATAGAATGTGCTTCACGTGACAGGGCATGCTTATGCCACGCCCTTGGCCACTCGTAGTGTTGTCACCGCCTGCTGGTTGTACCCCAGCACCTCCTGCACGCATGGATGGGAGCAGGCGAAGGGCAGAAAAACGGCAGCAGGTTCACGTCACACGGAGAGAAGGCATCTCAAAGCACACGTATGCCACGTCCTTGGCCACTCCCAGTGTCGTCACCGCCTGCTTGTTGCACCCCAGCACCTCCTGCACGCATGGATGGGAGCAGGCAAAGAAAACTGTCTCACGATCACTCTGTGTGCTCGCTAGTGCGTGTGTGGTTCCTCACCCGGGCTGCTACTAGGCAGCGGTAAATCAGCACCTTTGTGCAGCGAGGAAAGGTACGGGGGGAATGAGTGACTGCCATGAGCGGAAAAGCGGGGAGAAGGACAAATGGTTGCGGACAATGTTATTCGGCCGGAGAGTTTTGCAACAACGGCGGCCGAGCGACGTGCCTTGATGGTCGGCGAGTATATGGCGAAGTTGTAACTGTTACCCGCGCACGCGAGTAACCACATGGAGCCGATGAGAGCGAGCCAGCGTCCCTTGGCGAAGCCATGCGATTGGCTTGCTTCGGCCATGATGGTCGACGAGAAGAGCCGTCGATGCGTTGATGATCTGCTGACTTCGACCGGAAAGTCTGTACTTTTCCCCCCCTGGTTCGTCTGGTTCAAAGTGAACACTTATTTGTTGCTACTACGTGCGACATTGCTGCATTCTGAAATGCGTCGACAGAACCATTGACTAACGAAGAGCCATTACTACTACTACCCTGAGCACCTCATGATGCACTCGATGCAGGTGCGGCATTGTGACGAATGTGTAAACCCGCTGACAAATGAACGAAAAAAGCTCTTCACGTTGTTCTCTAACTAAATCCACCTCGGTTTTGCCTGCTTTCAGGCGTGTTTCATAGATGCTCAGGTATTCTCTTAGTGCTTGAATCCTGGGGGTGTCTTGGCGGGAAACCTTGTTGGCACTGGCAGCCATTCCCAAGCTCTCTGATGTGCTGTGCCGCCGGGGAAACCCGATAGGTTGAATTCCAATGTGACAATACCGCCTGGGTCGATGCTATTGGTGCCCCGAGCACGTGTCGACCGAACAGTTCCAGCTGTCGCTAGGAAGAACCCCGATAATATATTACAAGCTAAATTCTTCCGATTAAGGGAGAAACACGATTTTTAAACCATAACCAGTACTAGATCAAGCAGAGTCTTACAATAAGAAAAACAAGTTGACTAGTCAAGCATCTTGGTCCATTAGCATTCAAAAGCAATACTGCAATCACTTATACTACTCAAGCTTTAGGCGTTGAAAAAAACAAGAGGGAGCATTCAGTAGTGGTGCATATGTTCAGTCTCACTGCAGATCCCGCAACCCACTCTCTTCTGTCGTTGTCAGTACCTCAGCAGGATCCCCCTGTATCCACAATTCTCCCTTCCCTATTGCCAACCTCCTTGGCAAAATACCTACTCCTTCCTTCCCACATCAGATCCTTCCTATACCCCTCTCCAACTTCATCATCACACTCGTCCTCTTGCCCTCTTCCTTGAAGCTTGCCCTCCCTCAATGCTGCTACCAGTCTCCTCTTCCCCCTCCCCTCCAGCATACCCATTCTCCAATACTCCAGGCTCCCCAACACCACCCATCCCTCCCACCCCTGCAACTTCTCCCCCTCCAACCCCTCCAATCCCTACCATCCCCCCCACTCCTCCCACTACCCCACCCCCTCCTACCCCAACCGCCTCCCCCCCCATCCCCTGCTCCACGTGCATGGCTGGGTCCAGGGCGAACATAGGCGTCTGCAAGCCGTTCATCGCGGCGGCGGCTGTAAATTTCCCCACAGTCGCAATGGCTTGCTCCTTCCCCTTGCGCTTCTTCCGCCCGATGCGCACGGTGTCCATCTCCCCGTGCTTGCGCGCGAGGTTCTCGTAGTGCGCGCGCCACCGCGGCATGAGCTCCTCCCACCTCTGCCACTGCTTCCACGCGCCGGGGAACTTAAGAATCGTTATAAAATCGTCGTGCGACATTCGCTTCAAGCACGCCTGCTCCTCCTCCGTCAGGATAGCCGACACGGCGCGCACGCCCAGGTGGACAATCATATACGCCGCGGCGGCGTATCCCTTCGCAGCCTCCATCGGGTCGTCCCACGTCCCCAGCGTGTGCCTCTGGCCATCGAAATCGATGGAGCTTTGAAACCGGCCGTACAGGACCTTCACACCATGAAGCCCGGTCACGAGATTCGGTCGCCGTTTCCCCGGGACGGAGTCCGTGGATTGATCGGACGGGAGGGAATTGACGACCATTGGAAGCTTGTAGCGCTCCGCTGCTGCTCCATTTAGGACTTTGGATTTTTCGGCTTTGGGCACGGGTGTTAATGAAAGGGTTAAGGAGCCGTCGACGTTGGCTGGGTGCTGCTGGAGCGCTTCGTTAGCAACTTGGGCCTCAAGCGCGTCGTTGGGCGGCTGAAACCCTTCATTCGTTCCGTGAGGCTGAAGCGCCATAGATTATGAAGGTTAGGAGGTTGCTCTGCGGTACCGAACGGCTAAAGTTGGCGAGAAGTTTCTAGAAACGGTACCACGTGGTTAATTACGACAAGACAGTTATGAGAAGGTGGAACTCGGTGATTACAAGAGCAAGGTTCTCCTACACGGTTCAGAAAGGTGGGATGCTAGATCTGTCAGAAACAACTGATAGAAGGTGAAACTCGGTGATGGCGGAAGAAAAGGGGTTTCGGACAGGTTTCACACTGCATCTGCTGGCGACAGGTGAGAGAAGGTGAAAGCCGGTGGTTGGGGAAGAGAAGGGGTTTCGTGTCCGGTGGGGAAAGATGGGGTTCCTTGGAATCGACGGATGGAGAGTAAAATGCGGAGGTAATAATCGACGGTTGAAGAGAGACGGTTGAGATGAGAAGGTGCAGGTCGCTGGATCGACGGCTGCTGTTGCCAGCTGGCTGGAAGGCTAGTTGGGATGGTGGTGGAATGAAGGGGTTTTTGCAAGCAGTTCAATCAGTCAAGACTGAACTTGGTGGTCAGGCAAACCTAGGGGTTTCGTCTACGGTTCAAGGAGGTGCATTGTTGGGCAGGTGGTGTGGGCTGGAGGGAGGGATGCAGACAAAACGATTTACTTGGCATCCCCAAGGCTCGACGACATCATTCGACGTTCGTTCGGTTCAGGCATCACGAGAAAATGTCCCATCTTTTTGTCACTTGCAACGTTTTGACTCTTGAAACTATCGGAAACAAACCAGTAACAAACATTCCTAAATGTTTTAGCAGGAGAAATGGCCTAAACCAAAGCTGCTTTTTAGACCACCCGAACGCTTCGGAAAGGCCCCTCTGTACAAGCACTTTTACCAGAGCAAGACTGTTTACATTCGATATTATACAGCATTCGGTGTAGCAAAACACTCGCTTGCAAACCATCACCTACAATAATTATCACATCTATCCACATGAATAAATGACATCATGCACCTGAACATACTCCTCTTATCAATCCCGCACCTCAATCCCGTACCTCACTCTCAGCATCATCAGCCTCCCGTGTGAACTGAGAGAGCGAGATCCCTAGGCGCTTCTGCTCCTGCACTGCTCGTTTACTGAACGCCACTGACCCTCCATTTATTGATTTATACGTAATAACCGCGCAACTGCACTTTTTCGCACAATGAGATGCCACATCACCCGCCAGCATATACTGGAAGCAGGGGTCGCATTCACGAAAGGGGAAAAGCGGAAGTGGCAGGAGAATATAAGTGTGATGTTCCAGAACACTTATGGCCTATGGGCGTCCAGCGATGGATTAGCATTCACGGTTCTTGAACCATTACCATCTTAAAATGTCGAACACGCTGATGAATGAATGGAAAGTAATCAAACACCCTCTCAGCGAGCGAGATTGTGACTCGTACGGTTGAAGAGTAGTGAAGCACTTACATGTAAGGTTCGTTTCCCCTGTGATCCAAGAACGAGTAAATCAGCTTTCTCTGCTTCGGCGACCTTGGGTATAACCTTCCTCGGATCGCCCTCCTCCACCTTGACGCGCGCCGCGGGGAAACCTAGTGAGTGTATGGTCTTTGCGGCGACGTTGATTGTGTCGCGGATGAACGCATGGTGGGACTTAATCTCCGCCGCTGGATCCGCGAAGCCACTGTAAAGCGATGTAAGGTCCTTATCTGGCGAGAAATGCGAGACGGGTTTGGGATGTAGATGCAGTAAGTGTATGCGAAGAATGGGAATGGTATGGAAAGGCAAAGAAAAGCGGCAGCACAAGAAAGAGGAACATGCAGAGAATCAGGGCATACCTGTAGGTCTGACATGTATTACGATCAGTTTGTCTTGATCTGAGAGTATCGACTTCAGAACGAAGAGAAGAGCCGCGTCGCTCGCGTCGCTCCCGTTAACGGCTACCATGATCGTTCTAGGCTGCGGCCCGGAGTCGGGCTGCTGCGATTCCTCCACCATCGCTCGTCGCGGTGTTAAAGCAGGCGCGGGAACCACTAGAAGAGAGATGCCGTAGTTTTCCAGGCAGGCGCGGGATTCGGGAGCTAGTCGCAGTAGAGCGCTGGGAGCACTGCTCAGGTCGCCTGGCTGTCGAGCTGGGGAAGAGACAGGATTTGTGTCTTTCCGCGGTGCTGTCGTGGCGATCACTGGCTGCAGACGTGACTAGAGCAACTGCTTGTGGGGAAGAGCCTTTCCTTGCTCAAGATTCGTGAGTGAGGTGCGGTCGAGGAACGTTTGCTTATGGGATTAGGCAGTGATACTCGAGGAGGACATTACTAGCATCAAGATTCGTGAGTGAGGTGCGCTCGGGATTGCCAGCTTTGACAAGAGTACCTCAATGAAGAAAGTGTTGGGACAAAGGCGCAAAAATAAGGGCCGCAGCTACTTCAGTTCGTTCTTCGCAGGTGCGACTGGAGATGGTGTGCAGCGGTTGGTAAGGCACCACAGAGTAGTTACTGTACAAGTTCCCCCAGTCGAGAAACGCCGGGTTTCAACGCAGCGTACGTGTACTGTACATATGTAACGAACCAAGTCTAATTAACGCCTTACAGTACTTGTCGTACGCAAACCGTACGGAGCGCCTAACGTCAGAAAATAGCCGGAATCGTCAGAAAAGGGGGGATTCCGTTCACGCACTCCACCTTGAGGCCGTTTTGCGCAAGCGCCGGCCATGTGGGCTCTAGGTCGACCCACCCAAGCCGAGTGGTGGGAAAAAAAATCTCATCGTGTTCAGTCTTCGCGCATGCGTATGACGTGGCATGGGAAGAAACAAGCAAGGAAGTGATCCGAGGCGGATCCGTCCAACTCCAACCGCCAATCTCTGGTGGCTTTCGCTCCGTCCCGTTTCATCGCAGATCCCACGAACAGCCATGACTGACGCCCAGAAAATCGGCGTGGGTGCATGTCTATGGCGGCACGACGGGCTGGTCCTGGGGACGGTAGTGCTTGCCCGCAACACCTCGTCTCGCCTCGTCTCGTCTCTTCACAGGTTCTGTTCCGTTGCTTTGCTGATGGTGGGGTCTTCTTTCCTGTTGAGCAGTGTGAGTGGTAGATTATGGTGGGTGGAGTGGATTGGAAGGGTGCAGTGGGCTGGGGTAGGGTGCGATGGGCTGGGATAGGGAGGATTAAGGTGGGTTTTTTTCGCTGGAGTGTGGGGTGGGGTGGGGGGATGGAGGGATCGGAGCCATAGGTGTGGTTCTCCATCATGTGTCGACCCGCCACGAATGGAACCTTGAATCCAGGTTAGAGGGGAGGGGAGGGAGGGAGGGACCATTGTGGAAAATGGGGGTCGGAGTTTGAACTTCTTAGGGTGCGTCAGATCCGCTACAATGTGATTTGGCTGCAAATTTGTCGCCCTTTTGGTCGACTCCTTTTTTCGCCAAAGTCGACAGAATGGTCGAATGCTAAACCGACCACCATCCAGCCACATTTACAAGGTGTTGAAATCTGACAGATTTGGTGGCCGATTTACAGGCCAGTTTGCAGAAGTGTCAGATTTACAGGTCGCACAGTTGGCCGGATTGTGCGACGGAGTCGCACGTATTGTTACTGAAGTGACACAACCGCTATTGTGCACACTACGATCAGGGAGTCAAGATGTGAGCTGCGGCCCCATTTACAAACCGGCTCGGCGAGATCGTGTCGTCTACCCGAACTGAGTGTGACGAGAGCATACAAAAACCGGAACGTCCCTACACTCTAGCCATTATCCAACATGGCGGATCCTTTCACACCCAGATGGGCACGACGTTTAGCAATCGGACTCACGCACGTTGTGCTCACCCCTTGGTTGCTGCAGTCGGTGTCATGGTGCCCTTGCTCCTTGACTTTGCTGACGAGAGAGATTACCAAGTGTTCCGGTCATGTTCAACGGCGCTGAAAGCGCCGTGCGAGTCGTCCTTGTGACACGTTGAGTCGCTTGGGTATGTTGGCCAAGTCGCGTAGGTACTGTAGCGCTGATGAGTCGACAAAGTGGTCGACTCTCGATTCGTTTGCACGTCGGAAAAGTTGTCGAATGCTAAACCGGCCATCAAAATTTGAGCAAGTGGCCGGATTGTGCGAAATTAACGAAATACCTTACGAATGTCGTGAATGTGTAACCTTCGCTAGATCCGGCCGGCCGGATTGATCCGGCCAACGGACCTGACGCACCCTTATGAGTTGTACTAAGAAGAGTGCGCGGAAGACTTTATAAAAGGATGAGAACTACCGAATGACAGAATGATAAAGAAGCAAGCATTTGTAGGGTCAAAACCGTGGTAGGCGAGGACCTCGGGACGTGGATGGGTTGGAAGTGTCGCGATTGGTGCGGGCGACTCGGAAGTGGTTCGGGCCGAAGTGTAGGCCGAACCCAAACTGACGCGAACAGTTCGGGCTGTCCTCGCTAAGAGTAGCCTCTACAGTAATGAATTCACATTCATTACACTCTCCCACCTTCTAAACAAGGTGCCCTTATACGTAGGCGAGTCTTGCAGTAGCGTCTAAACCGCAGATCTCGGTCGAAACTGATCTGACGGTGCGGAAGCATGTTGACTTTCGAGTTGACGCGTGGCTGAGCGCGTTGACCAGGCGAATTTCAAAGAGTTGGGATGTCAGCCGTTGATACTGCCGATGTTAATCGGGCGGTTGAAAGCGAATGTCGATCTCAAATCGTTCGACGAAGGAAGACCGTCGATGTCGCGGATGTGTATCGGATGGTTCTGGTGAATGTCATGTCGGCGTGAATTCTGACGCGTTGTCAGAGATCGATGAATCTGGTGCCATCGATGCCGATGAAGCCATCGCGTGCGTCCGTCGTGCTGGGTGTGTCAGACGAACTGTCAGAAATAACTGCCGAAATGTCAGAGGCCTGCCAACAACAGTGCGTGAGCACTCTTTCTCCCCTCCCCCCCCCCTTAGAAGAGAACTGCTGCCCACCATGTCAGAACATTATAGCTTATATATCTTTGTGTAGGCTATAGTGGGGTATCCCATAGGGGGTACAACCCAATCAGGTTTGCTATATCTGTTCACTTCATTCATAGTTGATTCATCCTCGTTCTAACTTTCTCATGGTATCGAGCAGGTTCCCCCGTGGGAACTGTGCTTAGGGCCCACCACATCGAACTTTTTTTTTCTGCCCGGAGCGCGCTCCGGGCCCTTGCTCTTACCTTTTTTTTCGATCTGCCCTTACGGCCCGAGCGCCGTCTTAGCGAGCCGCCCGCCCTAGCAGCCCGAGCGCCGCCTTAGCGCCCGCGCCCCGCTGCCCGCCCTCGCGCCTCCTTAGCGGCCTCGCCGCCCTGATCTCGCGGCCCCGCCGCCCAAGCGCCCGCGGCCCCCGCCGTCCCTGATCTCACGGCCCCGCCGCCTCAGCGCCCACGGCCCCGCCGCCCCTGATCTCGCGGCCCCGTCGCCCCAGCGCTCACGGCCCCGCCGCCCCTGATCTCGCGGCCCCGTCGCCCCAGCGCTCACGGCCCCGCCGCCCCTGCTTCGCGGCCCCGCCGCCCCAGCGCTCCCGGCCCCGCCGCCCCAGGGCTCCCGGCCCCGCCGCCCTTGATTCGCGGCCCCACCGCCCCAGCGCACCTGGCCCCGCCGCCCCTGATTCGCGGCCCCGCCGCTCCAGCGCTCCCGGCTCCGCCGCCCCTGATACGCGGCCCCGCCGCTCCAGCGCTCCCGGCCCCGCCGCCCCTGATACGCGGCCCCGCCGCCCCAGCGCTCCCGGCCCCACCGCCCCAGCGCTCACGGCCCCGCCGCCCCTTATACGCGGCCCCGCTGCCCCAGCGCTCCCGGCCCCGCCGCCCGTGCCACGCGGCCTCGCCGCCCCTGGTCTCGCGGCCCCGCCGCCACAGCACTCACGGCCCCGCCGCCCCTTCCTCTCGCGCCGCCCACTTGCAGCAGCCGAGCTGCCCAACTGCAGCAGCCGAGCCGCCCAACTGCAGCAGCCGAGCCGCCGGACTGCCACACAAGTGCAGCCGAGCCGCCCTGCACCCGAGCCACCCGGCAGCCGAGCCGCCCTACCGCCGAGCCGCCTGGGAGCCGAGCCGCCCGGGAGCCGAGTCGCTGAGTAGCCGAGCCGCCTTTCTACCGAGCCGCCCGACCTGCCCCGCCCGGTGAGCACTGTACCGCTAGCACTGCGCGCCCTTCCCCTACTGCTTGCACTGCTTCACTGTCGTCGTCATGGCTACCCCTAGTGTCCTCGCTTTTGACGCTGAGGGTCGGGCCATAGACTTTGAGGTCTGGCTCGACGACCTGCAGCTGTTTTTACAGTGCGATAGGGCGGACGGTCTGTCTCTCTTTGACCTCACCTCTGGTGCCGTCCCTTCCCCTGGTGCTGATGCTGACGCCACTGTTCGCTCACAGTGGGCCACGCGCGATGCTGCTCCACGTCTTGCTGTGCGTCGCCACTTGCCTACTGCTGAGCGCGCGCACTTTAGCCAGTACAAGAGTGCCCAGACCTTGTACGACGCTGTAGTTGCGCGCTACTCCTCCCCTGCCACTGCTGCACTGAGCCGCCTCATGCTCCCCTTCCTCTTCCCTGACCTTGCCGCCTTTCCCACTGTCGTTGATCTCATCACGCACCTCCGCACTAGTGACACTCGCTACCGCGCTGCGCTTCCTGCTGACTTCTGCGCCAAGAACCCCCCCCCCATGTACATCACTCTCTACTTCTTAGTCACTCGCCTCCCTGACTCCCTTCGTGTAGTCCGGGACCACTTCCTCGCGGTCTGTCCCACCACCCTCACAGTTGACAGCCTAGAGAAGGCCCTCCTTGCAGCAGAGAAGAGCATAGTCGCTGTAGGAGCCTCTCGAGGTGACCCCCGTGCCCCCATCTTTGAGGGGTGTTCTCCTTCCCCTCTCCTGCCCTCTGTCGCCTCTGCCGCTGCGGCCGACCTTGTTGGTCTTGAGTCGGTCGGTGCGGCGTCTGCCCCTAG